CAAATTTCTTATGATAATACAGTGAAAGTGACAAATAGATTCAAGGGATTAGATCTGATAGACAAGAGTGCCTGAAGAACTATGGATGGAGATTCGTACCATTGTACAGGAGGCAGGGATCAAGAACATCCCCAAGAAAAAGAAATGCAAAAAGGCAAAATGGTTGTCTGAGGAGGCCTTACAAATAGCTGAGAAAAGAAGAGAAGCAAAAAACAAAGGAGAAAAGGAAAGATATATCTAGTTGAATGCAGAGTTCCAAAGAAGAGCAAGGAGAGATAAATAAAGCCTTCCTCAGTGATCAGTGCAAAGAAATAGAAGAAAACAATAGAATGGGAAAGACTAGAGATCTCCAGAAAATCAGAGATACCAAGGGAACATTTCATGCAAAGATGGGCTCAATAAAGGACAGAAATGGTCCTAACAGAAGCAGAAGATATTAAGAGGTGGGAAGAATACACAGAAGAACTATACAAGAAAGATCTTCATGACCCAGATAACCACGATGGTGTGATCACTCACCTAGAGCCAGACATCCTGGCGAAGTTGAGTGGGCCTTAGGAAACATCACTATGAACAAAGTTAGTGGAGGTGATGGAATTCCAGTTGAGCTATTTCAAATCCTAAAAGATGATGTTGTGAAAGTGCTGCACTCAATATGCCAGCAAATATGGAAAACTCAGCAGTGGTCACAGGACTGGAAAAGGTCAGTTTTCATTTCAATCCCAAAGAAAGGCAATGCCAAGAATGTTCAAACTACTACACAGTTGCACTCATCTCACATGCTAGCAAAGTAATGCTCAAAATTCTCCAAGCCAGACGTCAACAGTACGTGAACTGTGAATTTCCAGATCTTCAAGCTGGATTTAGAAAATGCTTTAGAGGAACCAGAGGTCAAATTGCCAACATCCGTTGGATCATTGAAAAAGCAGAGTTCCAGAAAAATATCTACTTTTGCTTTATTGACTACGCCAAAGCCTTTGACTGTGTGGATCACAATAAACTGTGGAAAATTCTTAAGGAGATAGGAATACCAGACCACCTGACCTTCCTCCTGAGAAATCTGTATGTTGGTCAAGAAGCAACAGTTAGAACTGGACATGGAACAACAGACTGATTCCAAATCGGGAAAGGAGTGCATCAAAGCCGTATATTGTCACCCTGGTTATTTAACTTATATGCAGAGTACATCATGAGAAATGCTGGGCTCAGTGAAGCACAGGCTGGAATCAATATTTCCAGAGAAATATCAATAACCTCAGCCATGCACATGACACCACCCTTATGGCAGAAAGCAAAGAAAGAGCCTCTTGATGAAAGTGAAAGAGGAGAGTGAAAAAGTTGGCTTAAAACTCAACATTCAGAAAACAAAGATCATGGCATCCAGTCCCATCATTTCATGGCTAATAGATGGGGAAACAATAGAAACAGTGACAGACTTTATTTTTGGGGGCTCCAAAGTCACTGCAGATGGTGACTGCCACCGTGAAATTAAAAGGCACTTGCTCCTTGGAAGAAAAGCTATGATCTGAGCCGCCTTTCTTGCCTCTACTTGAGCTTAGTCTCCGGCTGTTGCCGTGCAGACTAGCTCATGTAGAAGCAAGAAAGGAAACTGTACACCACCAAACAATTTTTGGAGGTCTTGTGAGATTAAGCAAGACCAAAAAAAAAAAAAAAGAAAAGCTATGACAAACCTAGACAGCATATTAAAAAGCAGAGATATTACTTTGCTGACAAAGGTCCATCTAGTCAAAGCTATGATTTTTCCAGTAGTCATATATGAATATGAGAGTAGGACCATAAAGAAAGCTGAGCACCAAAGAATTGATGGTTTTAAACTGTGGTGTTGGAGAAGACTCTTGAGAGCCCCTTGGACCACAAGGAGATCCAACTAGGCCATCCTAAAGGAAATCAGTCCTGAATATTCATTGGAAGGACTGATGCTGAAGCTGCAATAGTTTGGCCACCTGATGTGAAGAACTGACTCCTTGGAAAAGACCCTGATGCTGGGAAAGACTGAAAGCAGGAGGAGAAGGGGATGAGATGGTTGGATGGCATCACCGATGCGATGGACATGAGTTTGAGCAAGCTCTGGGAGTTGATCATGGACAGGGAGGCCTGGTGTGCTGCAGCCCAGGGGCTCACAAAGAGTCGGACACGACTGAGCAACTGCACTGAACTGAGCTGAAACTAAGCTAAGCTGAAGATCGAAGGAGAGGGACATAGTTTTATAGAGAAAAGGGTGTTATTGGGAGGGATGGTTTTGAGTAGAAATCCATTGGAAGAGAAGTGTGAAAGTGTTAGTCACTCAGTCCTGTCCAACTCTTTGCAACTCCATGAACTGTAGCCTATCAGGCTCCACTGTCCGTGAAATTCTCCAGGCAAGAATACTGCAGTGGGTTGCCATTCCCTTCTCCAGGGGATTCAGAGACTGAACCCAAATCTCCTGCATTGCAGGCAGACTCTTTACCATCTGATTCACCAGGAACCTCTGGGGAGAGAGCTGGAATTCAAACTTCTCATTGATCGAATGTGGTGGTTTCTCATTGGCAGGCTATTGCTGGGTAAGGAGAAAACCTTCCTTATGCTGGAGCAGTACAGTAAGCCTCTTGCTTTTGGAATTGCATGGTGCCTCTCTCTTCTTGTTTTGGGGTTCTGCAGCACAGGGAATGATAAGGCACGAGAGCTCCCCCGTCGGGGCTTCTGGACATCCATTATTTTATTTTATTTTTTTAAGTTGTTTTTTCTGTTATGTTTTTGGTTGTTCTGGGTGGCATGCGGGATCATAGTTCCCAACCAGGATGAACTCCAAGCCCCCTGCAATGGAAGTTTGGAGTCTTAACCACTGGGCTGCCAGAGGAGTCCCTATTTTTTTTTTAACTTATTTGCTTTTCAAAGCTTTTATTTTATCCATTTTTCTTCCAGTTTTATTGAGATATAATTGACATATAAGTTTATGTATATGTTTAAGGTATGCAGGGCTTCCCTTGTGGCTCAGTTGGTAAAGAATCCACCTGCAATGCTGGAGACCTGGGTTTTATCCCTGGGTTGAGAAGATCCCCTGGAGAAGGGAAAGGCTAGCCACTCCAGTATTCTGGCCTGAAGAGTTCCATGGACTATATAGTCCATGGGTCTCAAAGAGTTGGACATGACTGAGCAACTTTCACTTCAGTTCACTTTAAGGTATACAACATAATGAAGTTATTATCACAATAAGTTTTGTGAATAGCCATCATCTCATATGTACATAAAATTAAGAAAATAGAAAAAAATTTTCTTGTGATGAGAACTTTTAGGATTTACTTTCTTAACAACTTTCATATATTGCATAATATAACATACATCAGTGTTGCTTATATTTATCGTGGTTTACATTACATCCTAGTATTTTTCTCACAACTGGATATTTGTACCTTTTAACTGCCTTCATCCACTTCCCCCCTCCCACTTCCTCCCAGACTTTATTTTAAATGGGGTTTCTTTATTTTCACATTTGCTTTAGAGGGTTTCACCAAAAGTTGTTGTTGTTGTTGTTTTTAACCAGACGTTTTTTTAACCTGAAGTGGGGAAGAAAAATCTGTCATTGTCAATTTATAGGTTAAGAAACTGACTAGACAAGCCTTGAGAGCCCAGGTGACCTGGCTTCCAGCAGAGTGCTGCTCATCACCTCTCCAGTGATCCGATGAATGTTGAATTTAATGCGCGGTTGGTCCTTGGCCTTGGCACAATAAATCCCTGGGGAACTTTAAAAACTATCAATACCCAAGCTGCTGCCCAGACTTATTAAACAGAAACTCAGGTTCCCCGGAAGACTACAGAAACAGCAATTTTTAAAAGTCCTGACAATTCCCAAGTGCAAACCAAGGTGAAAATACCTATTTAATAAACCTCTCCTCCAAACGTGATGGCTTCCCTAGGTGGCGCATGTGGTAAAGAACTCGCCTGCCAGTGCCGGAGACAGAAGAGACAGCGGCTGGATCCCTCAGTTGAGAAGATCCCCTGGAGGAGGGCATGGCAACCACTCCAGTATTGTTGCTTGGAGAACCCTCATGGAGGAAGGATCCTGGGGGGCTCCATACAGGCCACAGGGTCGCAAAGAGTCAGAAAGGAGTGAAGCGACCTAGCAGGGCACGCTAGGTGATACACCCCAAATGTGATACACAGTTCAGTCCCTCAGTCGTGTCCGACTCTTTGCGGCCCCATGGACTGCAGCACGCCAGCCCCCCCTCCCCCCACCAACTCCCAGAGTTTACTCAAACTCATGTCTATCGAGTCGGTGATGCCATCCAACCATCTCATCCTCTGTCGTCCCCTTGTCCTCCCGCCTTCTATCTTTCCCAGCATCAGGGTCTTTTCCAATGAGTCAGTTCTTCGCATCAGGTGGTCAAAGTATTGGGAGTTTCAGCTTCAACATCAGTCCTTCCAATGGATATTCAGAATTGATTTCCTTTAGGGTTGATTATCCAAATGTGATACATACAACAGTGTTCTGATACATTACCATTATTTTCACTTTGTCAGTTCAGTTCAGTCGCTCAGTCGTGTCCGACTCTTTGCGACCCCGTGAATCGCAGCACGCCAGGCCTCCCTGTCCATCACCAACTCCCGGAGTTTACTCAAACACATGTTCACTTTGTAGATACATGTAAATATATACACATAGAGACATACTGATGTACACATACAGTATATACTAAATCAAAAACAACGGCAATGAGAATGTTTACACTCATTCAGGTGAGGAAATTCTCCTCAAATCAGAGAGCGGGTCTAATGACGAAATCGGACCTTCTGTGACTTGACCCCGCCTCCGAACGTTGTGCTGCGGCCTAGAGCCATACACCCGCGGCTGATCTCGGAGACTTCCGGGTCCCGCCCCGCCCCGCCCCCACAAAGGCTCCCTCCCCACCCCGCCCCACGAAAAGCCCCGCCCCTCAGGCGCGCTAGGCCCCGGCCTCCCGCCCGCGGGCCCACGCCCGCCGCCCGCCCCCGGCCTGTCCAAGATGGAGGGCGCTTCGAGGGCGCCCCTCGCTCTCCGGCTTTTCGTCTTCGCGGCCCTGCCAGCCACCGGGTGGCTGACGACCCGCACCCTGGAGCCGCCGCTCCTGCCGCCCGCCCCGAAGGTAGGGCTAGGCGGACGCGACTCGGCCGGGATCCTCGGGGAGAAGCCCGGGCCGGGGACTTGGACGGCAGCGTCCGCGTCGACGCCTCCCACCTCCCAGCGGGCAGGCCGGGGACTGGGGGCCGGGCTCCCAAAGGGCGGGGAGTGGTGGGGAGAAGCACCCAAGGAAACGGGGGCGGCAGGGGACGGGGGAGGCGAGAGAGTGAAAGGGAATCTTTAACGTGTGGTTAAGTCCGGCGCAGCGAAACTGCTTGTTTGGGTAGTCTCGGCTGTTGCCGTCTTGACGGGCGTTTGCCGTCGAAAGTCGCCGATCACCGCCTTTTGTAATGGCGCCTTCTTGGGGTAGAGCCGGGCTCTGGGGCGAGGCAGTGTTTATGTGCTAGGGAAACGTGGAAGTTGCTCAACGAGAGAGAGCGAGGGCGTTTCCAGGCCACCTGTCTGCTGCAGCGGGCGGCGGGAAGGAATGCCTGCCCCCGGCGCGCGGGGCTCCGGGTGCGCGCAAGCTGGGTGCCTGGGGTCCGCAGAGCGAGAGAGACGGAAGACCCCGCGCAGACCCTGCCGGCCTGCCTTTAGCGGGCGGTGTTAGAGAGCCGGTCTCTAAGCGCGGTGGGGCCAGGCGCTCCAGCATCCGCTGGGAACCTGGTAGAAACCCTCTAATCAAAAGCTCGAGGGTGAGGACTCAGCAGAGCGTTGCAGCAAGCTCTCCATCCAGGTGATCCCGAGGTGGGCTGAAGTTTGCGCATCACCGCGTGCTTCTACTGCAGGGTGACTGACTGGTTCTTACAGCTTTTGCCCGGGTCGGGGGGACTCTCGCTGCCCTTAACCAGTATTTGCCTTTCAGCCGTTGAATGTGTGATGGGGGAAAAGTCTGAAGACTTCACAATGCGATTTTCCTAGAATGAGAAGAAACGACATAGGTGCACCTTTTCTTACTAATGAAGACCCGAATACCCAGCATTTAGGTGTGACTGACACCATAAATGTCACTGTTTTACTTTCACTGTTTTAAGAGTTATGGCGTTACCCTTCCTGGCTACAAAAATAATAGCGTACCTCGGTTTCAGTTCTCTTGGGATTTTCCAAGAAGCCACACCATCCCAAGCTCTAAGAACCACTTATATCCAAAGTGGACCACAGTTGCAGCTGTTCGAAAATATGAATATGAAATCGAGACCAAATTAAAATGAAGTAATTCCTAGGGTCCTGGAACTAGAGTCATTGGTTACCCCTTTTACAGACTTTAGAGATTTATCATAGTTATTTATCAACCCCAAAGACCTTTGAGTCTATTCCTATTATATGCTTGCCTTTAGACTGCAGGCTGATAGTACACCATACTGTGGGTTCTTAGTGAGTTGTTCATTTCAGTTCTTCTTACTTCTGTCTGCTTTTGGGAAGTCCAGATCTACACTTATTTCATTGGTTAAATGAATGCTCTGCAACTAGGAGGAGAATCTCATTCCTTGGAAGGTGTATGTGGGAAGCTGAGGCTTCTGAATCTAAACATTTTTCAGAGTTTTATTGTGAAAAATTTCAAAGGTACAGAACATTTGAAAGAGTTTTAGAGTGGTCATGCATATTTGATACGAGTTGTTCTGTTGACTGTTGTGCAGCAATGGTGTATTTGAACTCTGCATCATGGTAACCACTGGACTACTGTGGTTATTGAGTATTTGAAATGTGGCCAGTGTGACTGAGGAATTGAGTTTTTAATATGTTGTTTAGTTTTAATTAAATGTAGTCACATGTGGTTAGTGGGTACCATGTTGAATAATACCAACTCAGCCTACCATTTGTATTTTACTATACTTCCCTGCTGGCTCAGACGGTAAAGCGTCTGCCTGCAATGCGGGAGACCTGGGTTCAATCCCTGGGTTGGGAAGATCTCCTGGAGAAGGAAATGGCAACCCACTCCAGTATTCTTGCTTGGAAAATCCCATGGACGAAGGAGCCTGGTAGGCTACTGTCCATGGGGTTGAAAAGAATCGGACACGACTGAGCGACTTCACTTTACACTTTATACTTGGTTAATCACACACGTTTTCATCTGTTTATCTTCATATCCCGCCTGACCTAAATGTAAGAAAATTGGTTGAAGTTAGGAAAATTCACTGTGTATCTCTTCAGTCACTCATTTATTGGATTATAAGCATTTTTCTGTTTTGTTTACATTTGTAAGCTGTCAGCTGTTGAGGTTACACAGATTGTGAAGTAATAAAATTTTTTTTACAGTTTATTTTTCTAATATTAAAATGACTTGGTGACCAAAGAGAGGCGAGCAGCCAGAGGACGCTTATTTTTTTATATGTGTAAATATTTTTTTCTTATATGTGTAAATACTTATTTCATTTATTTCCCTCAGACTTACTTTAAACCAGGTATCTATTACTTTTGTTCTTAGGAAGTCATTTTGTCCCAGGTGGGCATTTGTGAGTGACGGAATCAGAGGAGAATTGAAAATGAGTGGGGAGAGACTTCAGTTCTGCCACCCATTTCTAAGTGTACACTGCCCTGGCTGACAAGCCTGTACTTCCAGTTCCGTCAAAGGCTCTCGGAGAGAGCAAGAAATATGACCTGGCTCTGAACTTTGGGTTAGGAGGCAGGAAAGGATGAGAGTTTCTCCTGATGGAAGTCATTCAAGAGGATCCAAAAGAATGTAATTGAAGTTGGCCCTCTGGAAAATATAGTGTGCTTGTGTCTATTCATTGTCTTTTCCAAAGACAACGGGTCCAGTTCTACTGGGCAAGTGATGTATGTAAGTGCAGTAAATGACTCGCAATATAGGGTATGTTCTCTACTGAAAGGCAGAAGCTATGAAAAGGTTTCTCAGAAGAGCATCGCTGGAGACGTATCTCCAGACTGTTAGAAGAACAGTGCTCTACAGTTTTCAGATAGATCATCTAGTTTGGAAAGAATGAATTCTTGACTGAAATTTGGGCATAAAACAGTACAGCCAGCAACTTGATGGTTTATTGAATGTTAGTTTGTTCTAAGAGATGAGTTCACTTGTTCTAACCCACACTTAATTCTAGATAAGGATGGGCCAGAAGAAAAATGGGCTGGAGCTGAGGAATCACTAGTCCTAAAGCTTCCTGGGCTCCTTAGGGAGTTGGGAAGTGGACCAAAGTCATCCTGAATAGATGATACAAACTTACATGTTCGTATCCTCTTTATCAAGTTGTCCCAGGAATCAATAAACTCAGCCCATAAAATTGCTGTCTTTGTCTCTCATTTTTTAGAAATATATAAAGTATTGGGGTTGCTCACGGTGCCAAGAAATACACTGGTATGTTAGTTTGATGTTTATGAATAATTTTTCTTGGGGAGGAGCCAAGATGGTGGAGGATTAGGACGGGGAGACCACTTTCTCCCCTACAAATTCATCGAAAGAACATTTGAACGCTGAGCAAACTTCACAAAACAACTTCTGATCGCTAGCAGAAGACATCAGGCTCCCAGAAAAGCAGCCCATTGTCTTCGAAAGGAGGTAGGACAAAATATAAAAGATAAAAAGAGAGACAAAAGAGCTAGGGACGGAGACCCATCCCGGGAAGGGAGTCATAATAGAGGAAGTTTCCAAACACCAGGAAACCTTCTCACGGGCGGGTCTGGGGGATGTTTTCGAATCTCGAAGGGCAACCTAACTGGGAGGAAAAATAAATAAAACTCACAGATTACATGCCTAAAAGCAACTCCCAGCAGAAGTACCCCAGACGCCCACTTCCGCCACTAGCAAGTGGGGGTGGAATGGAGAGGAGCGGGCGGCATTGCTTAGGTTAAGGACCGGGCCCGAATGCCCTGAGGGCAATCGGAGGGAGCTAACGTCAGATAGCAACTTAAACTGTGGGATAGCAAGTGAGAGAGAGAAAATTAACCTGCCTACCGTTCACAGAACAAAGGGACTGAGCAATTCCAGAGAAGAGCTAGCCTGTGGCGGTCGGGCCCAGCCCCGCCGGAGGCAGGAGGGAATGGGGAGGGGAAAGGGGTAAACTTGGCCCCAGAGACGGCATCCCCTACCAAACTGCAGAAGGCCTCCAGTTAACCAAAGACTTCCTGAGATTCTGGATGGTCGATATCCGCTGGGAGGGTCGCGGCTAGAGCCCAGCTCCCGGGGATAGACACAAGCCGCACGCACGCGACTGGCGCACGGAAACTGAGGCTGGGACCTCGGAGGGGAGAAGGCGCGCCGCACCCGGGGAGAGTGCGCCCATCAAGCTCCTGGCTGCCTGAGCTGCTCCGGCTGGGGAAGGCACAAAATGCAGGCGAAACTGAGTCCACGCTTTTGTGGAGTACCCGAAAACTGGAACCGCACGCAACGCAGGGCCCGCTCCATATAGCCGGCCCTGCTCCATAGAGCAGCTGGGAGCCTGAGCAGTGTAGACGGGGAGAGCACACACCCGTGAGCGGGGGCAAACCCAGTGTGGCTGGAACACGGTGAGTGCTCCCCACACAGAGCGATATCTGTCTGCAGCGCCCCTCTCTCCCCGCAGTGCGACTGAACAAGTGAATAATTTTTCTCTTTGAAAATTAAGAATACCCCCCCCCAAAGGTATTTAAGAGGAGTCTTCTTTTTGTTCTAGGATAACAACATCTGTGAATACACTTAGGAAAGAATTTTCATTTACAGATAATAAATTATAGTTCCTGTGACCCTGAATACTTAAAATAGTGCTTTCTTCTGTGTAGTGAGCATCTCATGAATAAACTTAAATATTTGAGTAGACTGTCTTTGAGCATCCCGTGAGAGGCACTGAAACTCTGTACCCCAAGTCCTTGTCCATGGGCATTAGAAGACACCTCTAAGAAGGATAAGAGCAAGTTTGTATGTGAAAACAATAAAGTTGGAAACATTTGATGTCTGCTCTCATGGAACAAATAAATTGATGGTATATTACACAATGCTGTTAAAAAAAAAGTGCATCTACCCACATAACTGTTTTAAATGAAAGAAGTTCCAGAAGAATACATGCAATATCATTCCACTTATAAAGTTCAGGCACAGATGAAACTGAACAATAGGTTGTTTAGAGAGAGAGCACACGGTGAGTTAAGTTGTAAAGGAAAGCAAGAAATGTTAACACGGAAGACAGTATAGGGATTCCTTCTGAGGGCCAGTGGGAAATGTGACAGGATCATGCAGGGGACTTAAAGATCTGAATGACATTTTAGTTTTGCTCCTGGGTAGGAGATACATGAGTGTTTATCTTTTAAACTCTGTATTTGCATATTACATGCTCAGATACATGATATATTTCATATTAAGTGGATAAGTATAGATTATGAAAAACTGAAATTGTGAATAATGGCATTTAAAAGACTATAAAGGGAATTCCCTGGTGGTCTAGCAGTTAAGATTCAGTGTTTTCACTGCTGGGGCCCTGGGTTCCATCCCTGGTTGGGGAACTAAGATCCTGAAAGCCACCCCACTCCCCCCCCACACACAAAAGAGCTGTAAAAATGAAACTGATGAGTCGTTTTTTTTTTTCCTGATGAGTTTTTTAACAGTGTTCTTTTAATGTAGACATAAGCGATCATACAGTAAGTATAACTGAGGGAGAAGAGAATGAACTGAGCTATTCTCAGTTCAGCAAATGCATACCTACCTGATTTGTGTATTTATTTTGCAGGATAGCATCAGAATTAATGTAACCACCCTGGAGGATGGGAAGGTGTCTAAAGAACAGGTGTGTCTTTGTTATGCTTTCATTATATCACTTAGCTAAGTATCATGCAGACTATTTTATTTTTTATCTATACACCTCATTTAGTTAGATAAAGTATTTTTGACATGAAGAGTTTGTCATCATTTGTAAACCATTGGAATTAATGTATATGCTGCTTTATTTTAAGGTTGTTCTTAACATAACCTATGAGAGTGGACAGGTATATGTAAATGACTTCCCTGTAAATAGTGGTGTAACCCGAATAAGCTGTCAGACTTTGATAGGTGAGTACTGCTAAATTATTTCCATTATTGTTCTATGTTTAATAACACTAAGTGAAACACAATTCTTTGATGTTATTTATTTCCATTTTAAATTAATAATATACATCATTACTAAAGTATATGATAACAGTAATGGATTTAAAACTCTATTCCTACTTAATATTGGTTCTTTCTGGCATTTTCTTCTATCACGGCATTGATATTGCTCAGAACTGCATGTCTGGAAAAAAAAAAAAAGAACTGCATGTCTGGTAGGTTAATAACAATGTAAGAATGTGCCTCAAGGTAGTAAATAGGGATTTATAAGCAATGCAAAATCTCTTCACATTTGTAAAAAGCAAAGAGAAAAGTGAATTGTCTTTCTGATTCTTCTACCTTTATGTCTATATTACATTTTCCTTTTTAACCTTTTAAAATCTTGAGTTGTTTAAAGACAAGCAAACATGTTACATTAGAATATACCCATTGTTTGAGTGAGATAAAGAATATGAGAAATTTGTATAGTATTCCTGTTACCTATTTTAATATACAGATTTAAGGCAGTAAGTATTTCTCTGACCACTTGTGTCCTTTACTTAATTCATTATGTGTCTTTATTATCATTCCATTCGTAGTGTTTTCCAGTTATTTATTGTGATATTTCCTTGTCCTAGGAGTCATTTTGAAGTGTATTGCTTAATTTTCAGACATTGAGGGATTTTTTTTTTCTTTTTTTACTGATTCCATCTCTATCATCAGATATGTAGCTGTATAATTTTAACCCTTTGAATTTAGAGACTTGCTGTATAGCTTAACATATGGTCAGTTTTAATAAATGTTGCTTTCCATTTGTATTTGAAAAGAAAGTTAATCTAATTAGTTGGATATGATGTTCTATATCTGTTAGGTCAAATTTGTTAACCACATTCAGTCTTTTATGGATTTACTGATTTTTTTTGTTTGCTTGCCCTATGAATTACTGAGAATGGTATGTTAAAATCTGCGCTAAGAACATTTGTTCTTTCAGTTTTGTCAATTTTTGCTTTGTATATTTTGACATACAGTATTACTAAATCCATGCAGATTTAGAGCTGTTATGTCTTCTGGTGAATCCACTCTTTTGTCATTATAATATGTCCTTATTTATTTCTAGTGATGTTCTTGCCTTAAAATCAGCTTTATCTAAATAAATTATTTTACCAGTAACTGCTTTTTGGCTGGGCATGGAGGAGGATGGTGGATGGTTTTGTGGTATGTTTCCATTTTTTTTCAGTCTTCCTGGGTCCTTATAATTAAGATGAATGTCTTACAAGCAGCATATACTTGTGGTTTCTTTTTTCTTTCTTTTTTTAATTCAGGCTATCATTCTGTCTTTAATTGGAATTTTAATTTAGTCATATTAATGTAATAAATGATATATTTAGACTTAGATAGTCTGTCTTGATTATTTGTTTTCTGTCTGTGTCTTATCTGTTCTGTTTCTTTTTTTTCTTTTTTTGTCTTCTTCTGGGTTATTTACTTTTTGTTTCATTGTCCCCTTCTATCTTGTTCGTTTTTATATTATTTTACATTCTTTATATTATTTTATGTTCTTTTAATGGTTACCCTTGAGATCAGAACTGATACTTTTATCCTTTCCCAACCACTGCAGGAATCTTAGAACACTTAAACTCTGTGTATTCTCTTTTTGCTTTTAATTTTTTTAATTTAATTTTTACTTTTTTAGCCTTGTGCCTTGAGGGATCTTTGCTCCCTGACCAGGGATTGAATCTGGGCCATGGCAGTGAAAGCCCCGGGTCCTAACCACCAGACCACCAGGGAATTCCCCCACCTTGCTGCTTTTGTGTTGCTATTTTCATGAATTTTAACTCTTTGGATTCTTAAACCCTGAGCACCATAAGTTGTTCTTAGTGTTTTCCTGTAGTCCAATGTTCTTTTGTGCTTACCTTCACAGTTACTCTTTCTATTGCTTTTCATTCCTTCCTGAATATCTGTATTCCCCTCTGGAGTTATTTTCCCTCTACCTAAAGAATTTGGCTTAGTATTTATTCAGTGCAGATTTCAGTGTCTATGTTTGTGTTCATGTTTTTACATGTTTCCTATGGTTCTCAGTGAGAGAGTTGGTGTACTGCAAGTTAATCCATCATAGTGGGGAAAAGAAGTGCCATTACTGGCTTGAATAACATTCCACTGATGTCATATGTATTAGGAATTTGACATGGGGCACAGTCTGCCTGCTTTATTTACTATAGTCATCTTTCTAGTCATCCCAGTTGCATTGAGTTTATTTCCTTGAAAGCTGAAGTAAAAGCCTGTCTTACCATTTCACAGGAATCTTTAAAACATTAAATGTAACTACAACAAGAGTCTCCTATCCTTAATTCTTTAAAAAAATTCTTCTTTGTAGATGTGTTAGTTGTAATGCTGTTTAACAGTTGAAACCAAATGTAGCCTATGACACTATTATCTCCTAGTTCCTGTAGGTCATAAATTTGAGCTTGGCTTAGCTGGGTGCTCTGACTGGCTCAGCTAGGAAAGGTCTGCTTCCCAGCACTCGTGGTTCTTGACAGGATTCATTTCCTTGTGAATTGTTCCTCACAGGATGTTAGCTGGAGTCCCTCCTTCATGTTCTTGCCACATGGGCCTTTCTGTAGAGCACCTCACAACATGGCAGCTGGCTTTATCACAGAACAAGAGAGACTGTCAGGGAGAGAGCGTACCAGCAAGACACAGGTCACAGTCTTCATAAGCTAATCACACAGGTGACATTCCAGCACTTTCGCTGTATTCTGTCTGTTCGAAACAAGTGTCTAGGTCCAGCTTGTCCTCCGTAGAAGGCAGTTACAAAGGGGCATGAAGGCTGGAAGGGCAAGAGTCACTGAGAGCCATTTTGGAAAGCGGTCTCCCTCAGTAGAGAAAGTCAGAATATAGAGGGCTCTTGTTGTTACTAGTTTTACTCTATAGCAGCCATTACAGATTTGGAGGAAGAGTCATATACATCAGTACTATTTGATGTATTGATGTGACTGCATTTTGTCATCTATTGAATCTCTGTTCTGGTGACTGGCCTTTGGTCATACGAGTAGGCTGATGAGGAGCCTGCCCTTCGCTGAGGGAGTTCAGTTCAGCCCAGCTCAGCAGCTCAGTCGTGTCCGACTCTTTACGACCCCGTGAATTGCAGCACGCCAGGCCTCCCTGTCCATCACCAACTCCTGGAATTTGCCCAAATTCATGTCCATCGAGTTGGTGATGCCATCCAGCCATCTCATCCTCTGTCGTCCCCTTCTCCTCCTGCCCCCAATCCCTCCCAGCATCAGGGTCTTTTCCAATGAGTCAACTCTTCTCATGAGGTGGCCAAAGTATTGGAGTTTCAGCTTCAGCATCAGTCCTTCCAGTGAACACCCAGGACTGATCTCCTTTAGGATGGACTGGTTGGATCTCCTTGCAGTCCAAGGGACTCTGAAGAGTCTTCTCCAACACCACAGTTCAAAAGCATCAATTCTTCAGCGATCAACTTTCTTCACAGTCCAACTCTCACATACATACATGACCACTGGAAAAACCATAGCCTTGACCAGACCGACCTTTGTTGGCAAAGTAATGTCTCTGCTTTTTAATATGCTATCTAGGTTGGTCATAACTTTCCTTCCAAGGAGCAAGTGTCTTTTAATTTCATGGCTGCAGTCACCATCCGCAGTGATTTTGGAGCCCAAAAAAATAAAGTCTGACACTGTTTCTACTGTCTCCCCATCTATTTCCCATGAGGTGATGGGACCAGATGCCATGATCTTAGTTTTCTGAATGTTAAGCTTTAAGCCAACTTTTTCACTCTCCTCTTTCACTTTCATCAAGAGGCTTTTCAGTTCCTCTTCACTCTCTGCCATAAAGGTGGTGTCATCTGCATATCTGAGGTTATTGGTATTTCTCCCGGCAATCTTGATCCCAGCTTGTGCTTCTTCCAGCTCAGCGTTTCTCATGATGTACTCTGCATATAAGTTAAATAAGCAGGGTGACAATATACAGCCTTGACGTACTCCTTTTCCTATTTGGAATCAGTCTGTTGTTCCATGTCCAGTTCTAACTGTTGCTTCCTGACCTGCATACAGGTTTCTCAAGAGGCAGGTCAGGTGGTCTGGTATTCCCATCTCTTTCAGAATTTTCCACAGTTTATTGTGATCCACACAGTCGAAGGCTTTGGCGTAGTCAATAAAGCAGAAATAGATGTTTTTCTGGAACTCTCTTGCTTTTTTCAATGATCCAGCGGATATTGGCAATTTGATCTCTGGTTCCTCTACCTTTTCTAAAACCAGCTTGAACATCTGGAAGTTCTCGGTTCACATATTGCTGCAGCCTGGCTTGGAGAATTTTGAGCATGACTTTACTGGCGTGTGAGATGAGTGCAATTGTGCAGTAGTTTGAGCATTCTTTGAGATTGCCTTTCTTAGGGACTGGAATGAAAACTGACCTTTTCCAGTCCTGTGGCCACTGCTGAGTTTTCCAAATTTGCTGGCATATTGAGTGCAGCACTTTCACAGCATCATCTTTCAGGATTTGAAATAGCTCAACTGTAATTCCATGACATCCACTAGCTTTGTTCATAGTGATGCTTTCTGAGGCCCACTTGACTTCACATTCCAGGATGTCTGGCTCTAGGTGAGTGATCACACCATTGTGATTATCTGGATCATGAAGATCTTTTTTGAACAGTTCTTCTGTGTATTCTTGCCACCTCTTCTTAATAACTTCTGCTTCTGTTAGGTCCCTACCATTTCTGTCCTTTATTGAGCCCATCTTTGCCTGAAATGTTCCCTTGGTATCTCTAATTTTCTTGAAGAGATCTCTAGTCTTTCCCATTCTATTGTTTTCCTCTATTTCTTTGCATTGATCACTGAGGAAGGCTTTCTTATCTCTCCTGGCTATTCTTTGGAACTCTGCATTCAAATGGGAATACCTTTCCTTTTCTCCTTTGCTTTTTGCTTTTCTTCTTTTCACAGCTATTTGTAAGGCCTCCTCAGACAACCATTTTGCCTTTTTGCATTTCTTTTCCATGGGGATGGTCTTGATCCCTGTCTCCTGTACAGTGTCACAAACCTCCAAACCTCTGTCCATAGTTCATCAGGCACTCTGTCTATCAGATCTAGTCCCTTAAATCTATTTCTCACTTCCACTGTATAGTCATAAGGGATTTGATTTAGGTCGTACCTGAATGGTCTAGTGGTTTTCCTTACTTTCTTCAGTTTAAGTCTGGATTTGGCAATAAGGAGTTCATGATCTTAGCCACAGTCAGCTCCTGGTCTTGTTTTTGCTGACTGTATAGAGCTTCTCCATCTTTGGCTGCAAAGAATATAATCAATCTGATTTCGGTATTGACTATCTGGTGATGTCCATGTGTAGAGTCTTCTCTTGTGTTGTTGGAAGAGGGTGTTTGCTATGACCAGTGTGTTCTCTTGGCAAAACTCTGTTAGCCAAGGAGACCACTGGGTAAACAGTGAAAACACTGAAATGGACCACGAGAGAAGGGAAGTTTTCCAGTTAGAAGTCTCGAGGATGTGAGGGAGGTTAGGTAGGCGAGAGAGAGGGTACCGTAATGAGCCTGAAGAAGGAGGACCCGGCAGAGAACCACCAGAGAGGTCGTAGGGTGCCGCTGAAGGCGTCTAACAAGGACACTGCGTACTCAAAACCATGTGATGTGAGATTAATCCGGCATCATGTGAATGGTGGAAGAGGGAGGGATTGCAGAAGGGGAGAACAGTTAGGTAAATATGTTAAGAGTAAGTAGCTGATGAACTAGGTGTTGGGTGGGAGGTAGGTGGAGCTGGAAAGGACACATGGAAGAGATACTTTGGATCTGGAATGGTCCAAAGGGAACAACTGACTGGATGCAGAGGATGAGAGTGAAGCAGTCAAAGGTAACCTAGTCATTCTTGTCCGTGGTAGTTGGGAGAATGGGAGGGGTTTCTTAACAGAAACAGAGAAGGCAAGGAGGAACAGGTTTGTGAACTTAGAGTGAGACCAGGGGTTAGGCCACTTGTTTCTCAATAAAAATGTGTGTACCTGTTTAAGAATTACAAATGTTAGTCTGTACCCCTTGAGATTTTAAGACTAGAGTGAGGCTTTAGCATCTGTGCTGTTCCCAGTTGGTTCTGATACATAGTTAGGGTTTAGAACCACTAGACCAGGTATTTGTTTTAAATTATGTATTTATAATTCTGGGTGGAATCACTACTTCACATTGGCTATAGAATAAGAACTTAATGCATCCTCTCAAGCAACTCGGCCCAGTTGAGACAGGTTTATAGACTAAGAACTACACTGTTAGTGCTTTAAATTTTTTTTTTAAAAAGGCATGAACTCAGCATTGTAAGGATATGGTATCTAGAACTATTAAGTAGGAGTTTATTAAAAATGTATGGAAGGGGACTTCTCTGGAGATCCAGTGGTTGACTTTGCCTTCCAATAAAGGGGGTACTGGTTCAGTCTCTAGTGGGGGTCTAAGATCCGATATGCCTCACGGCCAAAAAACCAAAGCACAAAACAGAAGCAATATTGTAACAAATTGAATAAAGACTTTGAAAATGGTCCACATCAAAAAATAACAAAATGTAAAAACCTCAGGGAGGAGAGTGAGTAATGGAGAGCATGCTGGATCAAGAGAACAGCTCTGTAAAGGCACAGTGTTGGCTTAAACAGCTGGGCCTGCATGCAGGATATCCATCTGGGTTCCTTTTTGGCGGATAATTCTCAGCCAATAACATTTGAGGAACAGAAACGAAATGCTGCTTTTGCAGCAGTTTCATTGGTTTCTATTATCTTTTTCTATAGCACTGCTCAGCTTTATAAACCAGTTGTGACTGCCACCCTCCATCACTGCTGGGGTGGGGGTAGGGTTTCTCAGCCAGAAGGAACAGGGCCAATAGCTGATCCCACTCCATCGTTTGTTAGTGGGGAGTAATTACGGGGCTTTCCCTCCCTCATCCCCATTCCCACCCTCCCCAGTGATTAACAAGTTGCCTACTGGGAAAAGAATTGACAAAAACCCTCAAGTGTCCTTACTGCTAGAGTCTTCTATCACGGATTTTGTGAATGAATGAATGGATGAATGAATGAATGAATGTGCTCACCTCTCTAACACGTGGGATTGTCTGTGTCTTCCATCCTGTTTTGTAAACAGTTGTACCTACTGGTTCCTCATAGCGAGTCTATGTAAAAGAATAGGAAAGATGTGGTAAGTGTGAAGTTCCATACAAAATCTGAAAGTCATCAGGCATTTTTCCCTTTAAATGAGTATAAGAATTGTAGGGGTTTGTCAAGTTGTCTTTGTTTTCATCGATCTGAAACATCAATGAGGTCAGAAATAAAGATAATGGTATACAACTGTCTTGTTCCATGTAAATGTCAACAGAATAATCAAATTCACTAACTGATTTGGTAGCATTTTTTTGTTCAAAGCTATCACTACTTTTTTTTTTTTTTTAAACAGTGAAGAATGAAAATCTGGAAAACTTGGAGGAAAAAGAATATTTTGGAATTGTCAGTGTAAGGATTTTAGTTCATGAGTGGCCTATGACATCTGGTTCCAGTTTACAACTGATTGTCATTCAAGAAGAGGTAGTAGAGATAGATGGGAAACAGGTAAGATAGTACGCTTACTATCTGGGAATTAATTGTAAAGATTTGAGTTCAGTGTTATGCACACGTTCAGTTATTTATTTCTGACTTGATAAGGAAAGAAGCTACACTAATGTTGCCTGTATCCAGTCATTTAGAATTGTCTACTTGTTTTAGCATTTACTTGTTTAGAATTAGAAGTCTTAATTTGAAAAAAGATCATATTCATACATGTTTATATCCCTTAAAATTATGATCATTATTAAGCAGAGCAAGTAAGTGAAAAGACTGAATTTGGTTCGTAACTCTGCTGCCGTTTCTTCTGGCCAAGTCTCTCTTAAGTCAATGAAACGAAACTGAGAGCAAACCTCTAATAGTGAGTGCTGAAGCACACTGTGTGTGATTAAAGTTGCAAATTAATTGTCTTAAAGAGGAATTCTGTGAATAGGACAAGTTTTTTAGTTTCAGAAATCAGGGAAGAAAATTCAGTTTTAGATTCTTACCAGGTTATTCAAAATAAAGAGTAATTGCATCTATTTTTTCATAGGCTCAACAAAAGGACGTTACTGAAATTGATATTTTAGTTAAGAATCAGGGAATAGTCAGACGTTCAAACTACACCCTGCCTTTAGAAGAAAGCATGCTCTACTCGATTTCCCGAGACAGTGACATTCTATTCACCCTTCCCAACCTCTCCAAAAAAGGTACTTTCAAAGACCATTATTTAAAGTATTAAGGAAATGATTTCTTTAATTGGTAACTTTTTCATCATAGTTTGGAAGTAAGCTTCTTTTAAAAATGCTTTATAACATGTATTGCTTTATGTATCCATTTTGTAAAATGTGGTCTGTGCTGATGACAGAGGGGCATTTTGCTGAAATCATCTAAAAATACATAATAAGAAATCATTCACTTAAGTTCATTTAGAAGAGGAAATATCATTTTTTCCACCGAAACACAGAACTTAAAAAATTTGACTTTCTATGTGACAGAATTGTAACTGCTGTAGCTCCCTTCTTACTGTCTTAATTTGAGGTTCCTTTCTGGCATTTAAATCTAAATAATCAAATGTTTTTCTCCCGCAAAAAAAACGGATGTTCTCACCATCCCAAATGTTACTGGTGTAGAGGCTAGAACTGGTGGGAGAGTCACCAGCACGTGCTCAGCATTTGGGTAACCTGGCTTTCCCTTCTCAGGAGACAGTGTTAGTTCATTGCAGACCACCAGCCAGTATCTTATCAGGAATGTGGAAACCACTGTAAATGAAGCTCTACCTGGCAAGTTACCTGAAACTCCTCTCAGAGCTGAGCCTCCATCTTCATATAAGGTAAATAAGGTATCTGGGGTTATCTCTATATGTGTTACAAGCATTTATGGTTATGGTAAAGAAAATAAGTGCTAGCGTTTTAAATGAGGTGGAAACCATGAGAATTTGATCCATGGGACGTTGTTAATAATGAACTCATCACTGTTTTAATGTGACATTTTTAGGTATTCCTTTTTTCCTTCTTAGTAATGTAGTCAGATGATGATGGTTGAGGTATAGATTTCAGTTTGTTTGGGGGTCTTTCTCATATCCCCATTGGTCTGTTTATTCTATGACTTCATGCATGCACACATGTACACATACACACAGTCCCCTCAAGACCTTGTACAGTGACTTAGCACACTTGGTTGAGTGTACTTTCTGAAATCAGACTGCCTAGGTTTGAATCCTGGTTCTGCCACTGACTAGCTGTGTCAGCTGGGACAAGTTCCTAGCCTCTCTAACCTTTTTCTTTATGTGTACAGCAAAGGTCCATAAAGTGATGCCTTTTCTATGAGGTTGTTGTAAGCATTTAAATAAGATGGGTGCAAATGTAAGTATATATTGGCACCTGTTAAGTAGTCACATATGATTAATGATAGTATACTGCTGACTGGGAAGACAGGGTTCATAGAGTATGGTGAAATCTCTGTTAGCTCAGCCCCTTACTCAAAATAATTTACATTTAAATGAGCAGGATATGTGCTTAGTAACACAAGATTGCAGAGATGATTCTTTGAAGAGGTTCTCACTGAAGGTTAGGATTGCTTGCTTTGGGTTACTGGAACTTGGTCATTTTTTGAATGCCTGAACTCTGGTGCCGTTACTAATCTTACTCCATCTCTCTCAGAGCAAGGAAGAGCAGACTCTTCAAAGTCCCTGCCATCAAAGCATGCCCAGGTTTCACCTGTCACTGTTGAAGTGCGCAGTGAACCCCCCACCACCAGTGGGCATCACCGACTTGATGGACATGAGTTTGAGCAAGCTCCGCGAGTTGCTGATGGGCAGGGAAGCCTGGCGTGCTGCAGTCCATGGGGTCGTAAAGAGTCGGACAGGACTGAGCAACCGAGCTGAACTCCCCATAGGGTTCCAAAAGCTACGAATATGTCTGCCACTCCTTCCTTCTGTCGTCTTCCAAATACTGGAAACACATAGCTGACAGGTCCATTCTGAATAAGTGGGCTAGCCTTCTTGTCACGCATGCTTAGATACTCAGTCATGTCTGACTCTTTGGGATCCCAGGGACTGTAGCCTGCCAGGCTCTTCTGTCCATGGAACTTTCTAGGCAAGAATAGTGGAGTGGGTTTCCATTTCCTCTTCAGGGGCTCTTCCTGATCTAGGGATCAAACCAATGTCTCTTACATCTCCTGCATTGGCAGGCGGATCCTTTACCACTACTGCCACTTGAGAAGCCCTTTATAGTTAGACAACACGTATGAATAACTGTAAAGGATAGTAACATGTAACAAACGTTTATGCCTCTTTTGCTAGAAAACAATTTTTAAATTGTAAATAACTTTGAGGTACATTTAAAAAATAAAATGCACCCATTTAAAATGTACAGTTCGGCAAGTTTTGACAAGTGTAGATACCCATGTTACCACCATTACAGTCAGGATGTATAAATGTTACCATCACCTAAAACTAGAACATAATTTTTAAAGTTTCTTAGAGCTCAAATGAAATTTGCTTATCTAATAAAAACTTTTTTTTTTTTTTAGGTGATGTGTCAGTGGATGGAAAAGTTCAGAAAAGATCTATGCAGGTTCTGGAGCAGTATTTTCCCGATATTCTTTATGTTTTTGAATGTCATGGTGGTTGGAATTATAGGAGCAATTATAGTAATAACCATCTTAAAGGTGCTTTTCCCAGTTTGTGAATACAAGTAAGTATTTCTCATTTTTTATCAACTTTAGTATTTTTAATGATTAAAAAGTAGTTGTATTTACTATAGAGTAGAAAATATAAAAATTAGGAAGAATAACACAAGTGGGGGGAAAAATAATATATCTCTTTTTTTTCTAGTCCATCTTTCAGCTTTAGCAAAATTAAAAGACATTTATTGGATACCTATATGGTCAAGACACCTGTCTTGGGAATTCACATGTGGATAGGACAAACTCTGCTCTGTAAGAACTTAGTATATTGGAGAGAAAGGAAACAAGTGTCTGTAACGGAAAATGCATTGTGTATAATAAGAAATAAATGAAACGAGGGCTTCACTATGTATTTTCAACCGCGAAGTATCAATTTAAAATGCAGTAAATTTTTTAAGACTAGCAAGGTATTTTAGTAACATGAGAAAGTAAAAGAAAGTAAAAGTGAAAGTTGCTCGGTCGTGTCCAACTCTTTGGGATCCCATGGACTATATAGAACTCTCCAGGCCACAATACTGAGTGGGTAGCCTTTCCCTTCTCTAGGGGATCTTCCCAACCCAGGGATCGAACCCAGGTCTCCTGCATTGTAGGCGAACTCTTTACCAGCTAAGCCACAAGGGAAGCCCAAGAATACTGGTGTGGGTAGCCTATCTCTTCTCCAGTGAATCTTGCAGGTGGATTCTTTACCAACTGAGCTATGAGTAACAGGAGAAATGCTGTCTAAAGATCTGTGGTTGCATGCCAGTGGAGTACTGATTAGAAAGCTGCTCAGGCCTAGTCTTCTTGCCCACTTTATGCAAATCTAGGACTGTGTATGCCATGGGGATCTGTAATTTACCTTGTCATCTCCTACAGTACCAGCTAAGGAACTTCCTCTTACTCCTCCAAACCAATTAGTTTGGTTAAAGTGAACTAACCATCATAAATAAAATGAAGCAAAAATACCTAATCCCAGGTATACATTTAATTACAACCTCAAAGTAGCCCTGTCTTACTTTAGTATTAATTTTTGTATTTCAGAGGAATTCTTCAGTTGGATAAAGTGAATGTTATACCTGTGACAGCTGTCAACTTATATTCAGATGGACCTGAGAAAACAGCAGAAAACCCTGGAGATAAAACATGTGTTTAGAACACCCTCTCAAATCATGGACTCTGAGTTAGCTTAATGGTTCAAATTTGCCACTCAAATATAATTTTCTTTAAGCCATTAAGAATCAGTTTGTACACTAGAGAAATTGCTAAACTCCTAAAGCTGTCTAAAACTTGATCTTTAAAGTGACAGTTAAAGTTCACCTTATTCTATAATAGGGCTGCCTGTTCCAGTGGTGAATTATTAAAGAAAATTTAAATGCAATGGAAGAGAAGACATGTGAAGAAACTGAAACTACCAAAAAGAAAAAAAAAAAGGGCAAGACAAAATGCCATGTGCCAATTCTTATCAAGGTGCCTTTGTTAAGGGAATTATATACATTTAATTACTATAATATATAAGACTTTATGAAAAGCACTTTATGAAATTCTAATTTAAAAGCTCAAGAACTTAACACTTATTTTTTTATTCAGTAAAATGTGCCTTAATATTAAGTATGTGACTCAGTATAAAAATCACTGAAGTGTGTATCATGATTTGATTGTATCCTGTACCAAGACTACTTACCTTGGATGAACCAGGATTTTAAAATAGTGACATGTTCTCACTCTAAAAATAAACCTTTTTTTTTTTTGAAGATAAAAGTACAATGTTTTTGGAATAAAATCTTTGCCCATGTGAGTTACTTATAATAGCTCCTTTCACATAACACTGGCTGAAACCAAGGGTCACATCAGTTAATAAGTCCATCAATGTCGTCTAATTAGAATGTGCCTTTGCTCTCATGGTTCTAAGTATAATCCTGTTCACCCCATAATGTTTGGTCTTTTTTTAACCATCACCCATACTGACGTATATTTTACAATATGATCTAGGACATATAATTCTTACCTTTACTCCATGTGATACTTTCTGTTCTATTAAAATTCTTTAAGTTTTTTAATTGTAACCCATCATTTAAACGGCTTCTTCGGTGGCTCAGTGGTATAGGATCCACCTGCAATGTAGGAGCCACAGGAAACACGGGTTCGATCCCTGAGTTGGGAAGATCCCCTAGAGAAGGCAATGGCAACCCACTCCAGTATTCCTGCTTGGAGAATTCCATGGACGGAGGAGCCTGGCAGGCTACAGTCCATGGGGTTGCAAAGAGTTGGACACGACTGAAGTGAGTTAGCAAGCATCATTTAAAATACTTTAGAGGAAAAAATAAAAAAATACTTTAGAGGGAAATGACTGGATTTTAAAACCACCTTCAATTTTGACTAAATAGGTACGTGTAGTGGAAGGATGATGGGTAGTAAAGGAGTCAGTCATTCTGCGTATTTGCTTTTAGTAAGGAGTAACAGCCCTGTGTAATGCACTGTGTCCATCTTCTAGACAAATAATACAATTTGATCCCAAAGTCACTCAGCAATTAACACTTTTTTTTTTCACTTTATTTTTTTATGTCCTTCACTAAGTTGCTAGAAATCACGAGTTCTAACTTTAAACAATGACAGGGTCTTATTTCATCCTTTAAGCATAAGCTTGTAGCCTCTTGTGAGAACAATGCAGGAGGCTTTCACTGGAGGGTGCAGGCCCTGCAGTCAGCAGCTCCTAGCCTGCCTTCTCTCCTTGCCTGTGATACTTGAGACCATAGCAAATCATGTGGTCTTCCTGAGGCTCTGTTTTCTATGGTGGGGGTGATACAGTAAGTATTAATTTACAAGGAATTATAAGTAGAAATCTTACCTAAAGGTTTATACCCTTACTCTTTATTTCATTTATTAATTTATATTTGTACTGTTAATTATTTTAATTACACTGTGTATCCATGAGTGATGGGTCAGTGACTCATTAGAGAACAGTGAGCAGCACGAACGTAAAGGCAGCTTCTTGCCTGCAGTGCAGCCTTTTCTATGTGGGCAGAATACAGTCAGGCAGGCAGGACTGTACAGATGTGTATATATATATTTTTCCTTTTAAACTGCACAGTAAAATGAAGGGGCCTTTAAAGCTCTCAGAACGAGGAGGGAAACCGGCCATAACACCAGGCAGGAAGGAAAGCACAGTGGGTGTGGTTCGGGCGTCACTCAATTGGCTACTTGTGTAAAAACGTTCAGGAATTTTCAGTTACCCTCTGGCACCTACAGAGCTAGGGCCAGGCTTATTCTTCAGAAGCAAGAGCAGCCACAGGCAGTGGAAGAGAAAAGGATACACTCAGAAGTGCACATAAAGACAGTTTTCCAAGCCAAGTAACAGCACTTGTGCTATAACATTTGTCAGTGAAAGAGAAACACAGTAATGCTAAAGTAAAACAAGTTTGCTTGTAACTTGAAAAAATTGCCTTTATTCAGAATCATACTTTTTTTCACTCTTACCATAACGAAAGTTTAAAAAAATATAGCGCTTGGTGCAATGAAATACTACATTTAATTATTCAAACACTTAATGCAAGGTTGCTCACAGTTTACATGTGAGAATTTAGCATGATCCAAACTCCAATATCCATTTCTCATATCTTTCAATGTCTGCAGCAGACACTGACTTTGAAACCTTTTTTAAAGCCATTTCAAAATCCTCCATAGTTGTAGGCATGTGCATTTCTTCTCTTGAAAGATTTCTGATTTCTTCCGGGGTCAAACCTTCAATACGCCTTCTCATTGCCATCAAGGATGCATCCCTAGGTTTTAAATTAAAAAGACAAAAACCACAAAGTGATGTGCTGGTCAAATAAAAAACTGAACAGAAGGTTTTTTTCATTTCATGTGTTATTCTGCAATTATTTTATTATATATACATAAGTAGTACTGCACAGAATCTAGTATTGAACTACAAGGCCTGTTTTGGAGCTGTTTTGTTAGCAGTTAAATCTGAGCAAAAAGCCCAAGAAGAAGTAGAAGGATATAACATGAGGGCAACTGAATTTTTTTTAAAGTGTACCATAAAATAAAGAATAAGCATCACAGGGACAGGAGAGAACTTGTTAGCTGGAAAATTAAATATTTTCTACTGCATGTGTAAGAAAAGCTGAACAATCAAGTGGTCTCTCCTTTCCCCTCCTCTGTATTAGTGCTATATTTTTTAAGGAGAAACTTAAGATTCAACCACCTCCTTGCTTTCACCAGTTTGATCCTTACCAGCAGCCACCACATGTGCAAAGAGACAGCTACAAAGCTGTTTCATACACACATTACTGCTAATCCTCACGTCAGCCCTGCACAGAATGCTTACTTTGGAGGTGAGTAAACCAGTGCAGTCAAGGACCTTCCTAATAAATGTCCAAACTAATACGAAGATTAGGACAAAAGCTACTTCAATCACGTTTTGAAGTAGAGACCATCTTTTCTTGTTACTGATATTCCTATCACATTTATGACACTTCACTGAAAATGAGACTGTATTTCCTTCTGATGTGCCAAATCAATCTACGTCAGATTACGTCTCCTATGGAACCATACGCTGAATGAATGCGCCGACATTACTTTTTCTAACCCAGGCACTTGGCAGCAGTCACCGTGCAGACGACTCCGCTCAGTCTTGCCTTGCTGGGCTTCCTCTGCCACCAGGTCTGACACACCCAAAATGGCTGAGATTATCAAATTTGGTAAGTCAAAACTGAAGACAGAAACAAATGGAAGAGACAAATCCACTGCTTTCAAAAGAAATGACTGAACAGAAGCAGGCAAGTTTTAATAAGGTATGTGACGCCAATAAGCAAGGTACATTCCACAAGCTCTTCCTTCTTATTTTACTTCTTTTAGCTGTTTAACTTTGTAAGATGAAAAGAGTGTGGGTCAAATTTAAATGACTGTGCTGCCCTTTTCACATCAAAGAAAGGAGAACTACTGACAGGAGGGCTGAAGGCCATTCCTGCCTCTCCCATCTGCCTGTCTGGGGGAGAAGAATAATTTACATGGTGGTGAAGGAAGAAGCTAAGTGGGGTGACAGTGAAAGTAAAAAAGCAAACTGGTCCAAAGTGTCCCGTGGGCTGTTAAAATACAGTGTAATCAGAGTGACTTTGTTGCTGTTCAAATGATTTTAATTACTGGAATGCACACTTTTTAAAGTATGCAAATAAAAAGTTTGAAAACCTAAAACTTTTTTTTCTAATCCAAGACAATTACTGGTTTTCTATTTTATATCAGTTGTTTTAACACTACCTTCTTGAATGTGTAGTTTTTAAATGAACCACAGTCTTCAATGACATACAAGATAGCTACACGACTTTACTAGCACCAGCTAACACTAGCTTAATGCCAAAACTTGTGTCTCTGACTAGGTTATATTATGTGGGTCTTTATTCTTCATCTATCTTCATTTAGCATAAAACCTTCATAACAGAAGTTTACACTGACAAAATTCTATGCTTCCTAAAAACAAAACCAGAACCAGAAACAAAAACCTATACTTCCAAAATAATTCATACCTGCACACGTTGGTAATGTCCGCACCTGAATAACCCTCCATATTTTCTGCTATACTTGCAAGGTCAACATCATCAGCCAATTCCAGCTCACGGAGACTTATTCGTAATAGCTCCTCCCTGCCTTTTGCTATTAGGAGAAATAAAATATAAATGAATATATATAAATATAAATATAACATATATAAAAGATAAACAAATATAAACAAATATAAACATACATATAAATACCAACATAATGTTTTATTTTTGTCCAGTCTACTTTAAGAAGTTGTTTTTCAATTCTTACAGCTCATTTGCTTAAAAAATTTAAGAGCTATTCCTCATTGAATTTTTATTTTTAAATTTTAATTTTTAATTGAAAAATAATTTTTTAATTGAAATTTTTTTTAGTTTTTTTGTTTTTAATTGAACTGGTTTGTCTTTTATTTTCCCATTTATTTTTATTAGTTGGAGGCTAATTACAATACTGTAGTGGTTTTTCCCATACACTGACATGAATCAGCCATGGATTTACATGTGTTCCCCATCCCGATCCCGCCTCCTGCCTCCCTCTCCATCCCATCCTTCTGGGTCTCTGGTTTGTCTTTTAAAGTAAAGTTAATACCAAACTTCAAAATTTAGCAAAACTACTTAAGAGTTAACATGAGGGACTTTACTGGTGGTCCAGTGGCTAAGACTCCAGCTCCCAATTCAAGCAGCCTGGGTTCAATCCCCGGTCAGGAAACTAGATCCCACATGACTACAACTAACAGTTCACGTGCTGCAACTAAGACCTGGTTCATCCAAATAAATTAATTAATTAAAATATATTTTTTTAAAAAGTTAACATGAGCTTCCTGATTCAAATGAAGATACCTGATGGTAATGGAATATAGATTCTTTTCTCAAGACGTCGTCTTAAAGCCTCATCAATATCCCAGGGAAAATTAGTAGCTGCCAGAACCATAACCATTTTGGAAGGGTCATCATTTTCAGAAGCACCTCCAACACCTTGAGGAAGGGTAAGAACATAGTGAAAAAAAAGAAAAGCAAAGCTCAAATACTTAAAGATCCTCAAATATTTAGCACAACATTAAAAGCAATGTAATCATCAAGCCTCCTTAAGACTTACAAAGCAAACTGGTACATGTGTGAGTTTGCAGCTCAAGAAAAATGAGTTTTTGTAACATGCAGAAAATATGACTCAAAAACAGATTTAATAAAAAGACTAGTTCAGCAAAACTACGTAACAATTTTAAAAATTCTTCAAAACCATACATATCCCCCTCTAAGGCCAATTGATCTGCATTTGTTTCAGTTTCCTGGCTAAGAACGAGATCAGCGTGTATGAGAAAAGGTGTCCAGTGAAGGGGCAGCCATTACTTCCGGTATGTCACCACTGTCAGCAGCCCCGTTTACTGCTGTGGATCTCCAGGACCTACTCGCCAGCCCTGGTCACCGGAGCTGGGCTGAGCACTGAGTGGAGCTTAGTTCACGCTTAGACACACGCGTACCGTCCATCTGAACCAGCAGCTCGGCCTTCACCCTTCTGCTTGCCTCGTGCTCTTCAGAAGTCCCTCTGCGGCTGCAGATGGAGTCTATCTCATCAATAAATATAGTAGCTGGAGAGTAAAATCGAGCCTGCAGGAAGAAACCAGGCAACACCAGGTTTTTAATTCCATTTAAAAGTAATCTACAGTTAAGCAATTAGAAAAGAGTGGAGGAGCCTGCCCACACTGTGCATCTCTCCCTCTTGTCCTGAGGAGAGAATTGGAAGAGCTAAAATACAGCTTCTAATACAGACTTATTGTATACTTAAATATTATATGGCAATTTATATATTATTCAATACTCTAATGGGTTATACATAAGTTATAGAAATACAGGATTATCCTGTACATTACAATGGTATGGATAACAATAATGGGAAGACATTTATAGATTCTGATAAGCATTCTAAAGTTTCAGAAAAAATTTTGTTAAAGAGAACCATTACCTTATATATTAATATCACATAGATTTTTATAAATATTTAAAAGTATATTTAAATTTTAATATTTCACTTATATGTAAATGTATTTTAATGTAAATATATAAATATAATATATATAATGTATAAATATATTTAAATTTATATTTTATACATATAAATTCTCTCTAAGGAATTCTAATTAAATTGCCATTTTTCATTTGACTAATACAAGTATAGCTGACCCCTGAATAATTCGGGTATGAACTGCATGGGTATACTTACATATAGATATTTTTCAGTAATAAATACTATACTACTACCTAAGTTGGTTGAATCTGAGGGTGTAGAGGAATTATGGATACAGAGGGCTAACTATAAGTTACATGCAGATTAATCTTCACATTGTTCAAGGGTCAATTAGAAGAGTCAATTAAAATGGCTTTTTAAAGATAAAATTCATACAACAAAAAATTCACCATTTAAACCATTTTAAAGTATACAATTCAGCACTCAGCATATTAATACTATTATGCAACCATCACCACTGTCAATTCCAGAACATTTCAGTGCCTCACCCCGCCCAATAACCCACACTTCTCTTCCCCCAGCCCCTGGTGATCACTGATCTATTTTCTGTCCCTAAGCATCTGCCTGTTCTGAACATTTCAAATTAATGGCATCATACAATACGTGGCCTTTGTGTCTGCTTCCTTCCACTCAGCATGTTTTCAATGTTTATCTATATTATAGCATGTACAGTACTTCATTCTCTTTTATGGCTGAATAATATCCCCCAAGTTTATTTTTGTACCTCAAATGCATTTCTTCTTCCCCAAATCAAAGGACAGGGAAGATTGATCCACCGGTCAAGTATTAACCTAATAAACAGCTGTGTAAGACTCAGTAGTATCACCCTTTTCTTAAGGAGACAGAAGCAGCATTTTATTTTATCTATTTATTTTTGTGGTTTTTTGTTTTTAGTATACTTTATTTTTTTATTGGAGTATAGTTGATAAGAACCATATTATTATAGTAATTAATATTTACTGTTAATCAATTTTTAAATGAAATATCCAAACTTACAGAATCACCACACAAGAAAGCTTGAAACTAAACGATGGCAAAGATTTCTCAAAACAGAGCTTAAGTGAACAAACAGCATTTTAAAGGTTCTGCTAAAAATAGAAGTCCACAATGGCAAATGAACACAACAGACTTGAACATGCAATTGTACTAGGTCCACCAATTCTTCTGACCATGAGGTTACAATCCATTCCCCTCTAAAACGCGATTAACTGTGCATAAAGACTGTGCCTCCAAAGTACAGATTTACTTTTAGTCTGTTCACTTGGAAAATCCTAATATTAAATCTCACTTTCTTTTCTAGTTAAAAACTTGAATTCTAAGTCATCTATTCCCTCCAAAACGATAATACCATTTTTAATTAAGGTATCCTTTTACTTGGATTTTAGGCACTATGTACAAACATTTTTCTGCTTTCTTTTCAAGAAACAGAGGGGGGAAATAAACTGGATGGAGGGAAAGAAAGAAAAAAGCAAACATGCAAGAAAATTTGTAATTGAAATTCTAGCTAGCAACCATCAGAACCAATGACAAAAATCAACTTTCAAGCAAAAACTACTAGATTTGCGTTTCCCCCCATACTACGGGTACATAGAAAGGTCTAAATTAAAGCAGAGGCTATGTGGCACATTTAAAATTTGGTTTAGATGACCTGGGAAAGTATCATAGATGTGGAAGAGGACACCAACTGTTTCTGCCTACACAGCACCCCTTCTTCTGATAAGAGAAGCTCTCCTTTTCATTTGTACATAAATTATCTTTCTCATTCTTACTCCCCTACTTCAAATGAGGCCAACCTCTGCTGGAGTCCCAGGAGAGTCCAGGCACAAGCGTGTGACTCAAGTAAAGCCAAACATTAATCTCCGGAGTTTTGCTGGAACAACTGAGAGATGAGGACTAATTCTTAGGGATTACCATAAGGACAACAAAAATAAGATTTAAACTTCTAACAGCTATCTTAGTCACCATATGGATCTGCCAACGTCAAAGTCAACCCAGAAGTAAAAAGAGCCAAATGTTTAGACAGAAACAATTCCCAAGGACATCTGAATTGCTGGATCCTGCTAGACCTAAAAATATAAAATGTAACCTGATAATTCTGTTATGTTACCCAACATATTATTCTTTTTGTTTAAACTGATTTGATTAGACTTTTGTTTTCCTTTATTGGCTGCACCTGTGGCATGTGGGCTGATAGTCCCAGACCAGGGATGGAACCCATGACCCCTGCATTAGAAGTGTAGAGTCTTAACCACTGGATCACCAGAGAAGTCCCATGATTAGATTTCTGACACCTGAAAATGAAAGTTCTTGACAACATAACAAAAAAAATACAGTTAAATTTTTAAATGTCTGTACCAAGTCATGTGAAAACCTCTGGACAGATTTTAATATTTAAGTGGGACTACCCTGGTGCTACAGTGGATAAGAATCTGCCTGCCAATGTAGGGGACACTGGTTCGATCCCTGGTCTGATTTCACATGCTCATGGAGCAACTGAGCCTCAGAGCCAGTGCTCCACAGCAAGAGAAGCCAGTGAAACCAGAAGCCTGCACAATGTAACTAGAGAGTAGCCCCCTCACAGCACCCAGAGAAAGCCCGGAACAGCAATAAGGACCCAGTGCAGCTGAAAATAAATAATTTAAAAAACAATATTTGTCGATGTATGGCAGAAATCAACATAATACTGTAATTCAATCATCTTCCAATTAAAAATAAATTAATTTAAAATAGTAACGGTAATATTTAAGTGGCCTTATTCATAATATAGGCCTTAAGCCATGCTCACTTTGAAAGATTCTGGTGGGGCCAGGCGCATGAGAGGCAGTCATCTGCAGAGCAGTCAAAACCATGACATAAGAGGCAGTAGTACAATTTTACTCCTTGAGAGAGGCCACATGATGAAAAGGAGAAAATCAAGCTGGTTTCAAAGGAGCCATAAACAAAGGAGCCTCCAAAACTACAGGCACTGGTTTGTGATTGAGCCTGTGCTCAAGTAAGCAGCTCAAGGTAGCACCTTCTGGATAAGATTTAAAGATGGTTAAGATTTTCCTAGGCAACACTAGGGAAGCCAGTAAAAAATAAGTTGTTTGATATGTCTTTATAAACTGCACTATAAAAAAAAATTACATATTAGCACTTTGTAAGAGGCTTTCCCTCATAGAAGAAAACAGTCCTTTTTCATCAATACAAAACCCTACCTTATATACCTATAGCTGATTCATGCTGATGTATGGCAGAAGTCAACACAGTATTATAATTATCCTCCAATTAAAAAAAATAAGTTTAAAAAACTCCCTATATTAAAAAATAATCAAATAATTCTTAAAAAGTAATAGTAAATATTTATGAGTCAGGCTCTATATTAAGCAGCTGAAGTGTACTGGCTGATTTCACCCTCCAAACATTAGGTCAGTTCAGTTTAGTCGCTCAGTTGTGTCTGACTCTTTGCGACTCCATGGATTGCAGCACGCCAGGCTTCCCTGTCCATCTCAAACTCCCAGAGCATGCGCAAACTCATGTCCATCGAGTCAGTGATGCCATCCAACCATCTCATCTGCTGTCCCCTTCTCTTCCTGCCTTCAATCTTTCCCAGCATCAGGGTCTTTTCCAGTGAGTCAGTTCTTCACATCAGGTGGCCAAAGTACTGGAGCTTCAGCTTTAGCATCAGTCCTTCCAATGAATATTCAGGGTTGATTTCCTTTAGGACTGATTGGTTTGATCTCCTTGTAGTCCAAGGGACTCTCAAGAGTCTTCTCCAATATCACAGTTCAAAAGCATCAATGCTTCAGCACTCAGCTTTGTTTATGGTCCTACTCTCACATCCATACATGACCACTGGAAAAACCATAGCTTTGACTAGATGGACCTTTGTAGGCAAAGTCATGTCTCTGCTTTTTAATATGCTGTCTCGGTTGGTCATAGCTTTTCTTCCAAGGAGCAAGTGTCTTTTAATTTCATGGCTGCAGTCACCACATGCTGTGAGTTTGTAGCCCAAGAAAATAAAGTCTGTCACTGTTTTCATTGTTTCCCATCTATCTGATATTAAGTGATGGGACCAGATGCCATGATCTTAGTTTTTTTAATGTTGAGTTTTAAGCCAGCTTTTTCACTCTCTTCTTTCAATTTCATCAAGAGGCTCTTTAGTTCCTCTTCACTTTCTGCCATAAGGGTGGTGTCATGTGCATGTCTGAGGTTATTGATATTTCTCCCTGCAATCTTGATTCCAGCTTGTGCTTAAACATTAGAGGTAGGTCCTAAATTACTGTCCTCCTCTTATAGATAAAGCAACTGAGCAACAGGAGAGGAATTCTCCCATAGGTAGCTAGCTGGGAAAGTGACAGAAGTGGGATCTAAGTCAGGCCATCTGACTCTAATGACACCATACTTAGCCATTCATTCTACTAAGCTTACATTTTTTAAACACCAAGTTATTCTGGAATACTGATAATTTTAACCCCTGAAGCAAATGGCAAAAAATTTTTTCAAGATGATCTAAGAGGTTCTCCATTAGACACCTACTGTGGAACTGACTATTGATAGTCCATAAGAACCTGTCAGAATTTACATTCTGCCTTATGAATTATCGCAGTTGAAGGAAAAAAAAATGGGAATGAAACAGGAAGAAGCCTTTACAGAAATGGATAACATGAAATTATGAGGGTTTTTGTTTTGTCTTATCCTGAGCCTAGGAAGAAAGATGTGGTATAATGTTAGCATTATCATCTAAGATTTTGGCCACCATGACTAAGAATGTAAATCTTTGTTATTACTTACATAATAAACACAACTCTGTCTTCATGCATATAACTACACAATTTCTTAAATGAGTTAAGATGGAAACAGTTAAGTGAAACTTAAAAGTCTAAAAGCTACTGAATTCAACCCACTCAATCAGAACTTGTTGAATTATATTTCTTCTACTGATACTCAGAATTGTGGCAGTGGATGAAGGAAAAAGAAACTCAAAGGAAGAAGCAAAGAACTGAGTTCAAAGATTATGATATTAAACTCCAGGTATTTGATACAGTGAATAGATCAGAGGTAATCTCAGTTCCATATTTACTTGTGATTTTCACCTTTCCCTATTATTTACCAATATTGAATTTACTATAACAAAGCCTGGCTTAAAAAACATAATTTCATATTCCTATAGCAGCAAATCAGTAACATGGATCCCATAGCATGAGCATGTCCATAAGCTAACAGTCAGTCCTCCAGAGAAAAGGAGTTAAAGAGAAACACAAGTAATTCATGTTAGTAAAAAGTTTCTATGGATGAAGGAGCCTAGTAGGCTACAGTCCATGGGGTTGCAAAGAGTCGGACATGACTGAACGACTTCACTTTTTCTTTTTCACTTTCTTTCAAGGGCACAGGAACCATACCCTGGGCACAAGTGCATCCTGCCTGGCGATTCTACACCATGGAGTTAGTTACAACTCATTTTCTTCCCTTCTAGAAGTAAAGAATCATTAGAGTTGTCTCAAACATTCACCATTTCAAACAGAAGACGAACAAGCTTCTCAGACTCTCCTCTGTATTTGGAAGTCAGAGTTGATGAAGAGACATTGAAGAATGTTGTCTTACATTCCGTTGCTACTGCTTTAGCAAGGAGGGTCTTTCCTGTGCCAGGTGGGCCCACCATTAACACTCCCTGTTGGGAATATAACAATGTCAGTAAAGGGTTTATCTGCCGTTGTTCTAATTCACAAGAATTCCATTACTAAGAATCAATCTTCAACAAACTTATACATAATATTGAGATATGCAAAAGACAAACAGAAGGATATTTTATCACAAATTTACTTTTTGCATTACAAAAGTAAGGTAATTACACACTATTAAAAATTTGGAACTAAGAGATGAGAAAAAATATAATCAATATTATAGTACTGATATCATATCCTAACACAGGTACCGTTAGGATCTAGATGTATGTCCTGTTAATCCTTTTGCTCAAACAAATTAGTTGTTTTTTTTTTTTTTTACATGGTTGTACTCAAGGTATGTCTAGAAGTTTGTATCTTGCTTATCACTTAACATTTCAAGAATTTAAAAAAACAAGTACACAGTGAGTCATTAGCACATTTCCCAAATCCAAGAGTTTTTTGGACACTTTTCAGATCAGCATGTGACTTTTACGAAGTACTCACTAGGGCTTCCCTGGTGGTTCAGTTGTAAAGAATCTGCCTCCCAATGCAGGGGACACGGGATTGAAATTGAAATTCCTGCTGTGGAAAGATCCCACAGGCTGCAGGGCAGCTAAGTCCACGTACCACAGCTACCAAGCCTGTGCTCCAGAGCCCGGGAGTCGCAACAACTGAGCCTGAGGGCTGCAACGACTGAAGCCTCAGCACCTACCTAGAGCCTGTGCTCTGCAACAAGGGAAACCACTGCAACGAGAAGCCCTCGCACCGCAACTCGAGAGCAGCCCCCCGCCTGCCTCATCTAGGGAAAGCCCACGTGCAGAAATGAAGACCCAGTCAAGCCACATATAAACACATCTTTAAAAAAAAGGAGTACTCATTAGATGCAGATATGCCTTGTTAATTTCTTAAGAACAATTCCAAGAAATACACAAGTTTTGCAACACAACATGTAAAAAGGAGTATTTTAGTATTTAGGCAACTTGTTCATATTTGCAAATCTAAGTTCACTATAAATCTACTATGGGTATACCCTTTTCAAAGATCACACTGCATCTGTTTCCTATTCTGGAAACCTTGCAGTAGGTTTTGGTCTGAATAACACAACATATTTAAATTTTTCTGTACCTGCTCTATGTTCTATTTCCCCTTCCCTCAACACAGGTAAATGCTGGCTCTCTACACAATACATTTGCCCTTTGCTTTGACAACACTGTTACAGTAAGAAACTTACTTTCCATGGTCTCCTAATGCCTTTAAAGAATTCTGGCATCCACATTGGTAACACCACAGCTTCCTTAAGCAACTTTTTAGCTTCTACTAAATCAGCAATATCATCCCTGAAAGAGAAGATATTTGATTAAAACCCTAGATCACATATTTAATTCAGTGTAGTCATTCTTGAGAGTCACTGAAAGCACATGATTTTTTGTTGCTGACAGAATGTGAAGTTTCTTCCTAGGCACTAGTGAACTAACACATTGTGACGAGGTTTCTGCCACACCAGCCAGTATATAGAAGGGGCACAATCTGAATCTTCAAAGTCTTGGCAGTAATGATTTTCAGCTTGGTGGATGAGAACACAGGTCTATAGGCCTACTCTTTAAGTATTATTATGCCATCTTATTTTAAATTTCTGTTCTTAAAATGCTCATTCCATAAATTCCATGGTTCAGAAATAATGAGCCCACTAAAACAAACAAACAGAATAAACATAGCATAAAGCAGACACAAGTTGTAATTCAGCTACTTTGCCCCCTACTATACCAAGAGGTGGACAGCAAGGTTAAAAACTATCATAGAGACTGCCACGAAATCATCATCAACCATGAGACCACCACCACTTCTACAACTACTAGTACACATGGCACAATAATACATTATGATATATAACATGATAATATATTTTAAAATATCCCCAAAACTATACCTAAAGTTTTAACAAAAAATATATAACTGAATGTGCCTAACTTTGTGGGAAATGGAGCTTTAGAACTTGTGATAAATTATAGTTCTTTGATTAATGTCTGTTTTTTAATAATTTATTGAAGTATAGTTGATTTACAATGTTATGTTAGGTTCAGGTGTATAGCAGGGTGATCCAGTTAAACATACATAGAGTATCCTTTTTTTTTTTTTTAGATTCTTTCCCCTTATAGATTAGTACAAAATATTAAGTATGGTTCCCTGTGCTATATAGTAGGTCCTTGTTGGTTATGTATTTTATATATATCAGTGTGTAATAAGTTAATCCCAAACTTCTAATTTCATAATATTAATAAAGTTGAGAACCACTGCTTTAAGTACTAGGATATAGGAGCAATATGTATTGTATAAACCTAGCCAGCAATACATATGCATGAGAATGACTGCTATTTCACCTTTAAAGAATGTCCCAAAAAGAAGGTGAAATTTTTGTGATCTTGTTCACATTCTGTACATAGGATTTTTTTATTTAATAAAAATTTTATTATTATTTATTTCATTAAATTTAAAAATTTTAAACAAAAACTGGTACAGCCTGAATCAAAGTGAAGTTTTTCATTATGTGTCTTGCTCAGATTTTATGTCTTCCAGTCCTGTCCTCAAAGACTGATTTTCAGCACATGCCCATTTCTGTTCCAAAAAGCAACATCCAATCGTTTTGTTGTGCTAAACTTACCATCGAACATTGGGATTCTGAGAAATTATATCCCTTTCCAAAGCTTCTACTAAGTCCTTATCATACCCGGTACTATCAAATTTATTTGTCTCCGGTTCTGCAGCTGCAGCAGGTGATTTGTTCTACACAAATAGAGGGAAAAAAAACATGAGCTTATGATTAACTCAGACACTGTATTTCATTTCTATGAGTCAGAAACAAAGACTGGACTCAAGTGCCATTTTTATAAAAGCTAACGTAACAGTACAAGTAATACGGACAGAATCAAAGACTGTAAGTCATCGTTCTACATCAACAGCAGAGTTTCATACTGAATTTTTATTTTTACGTAAAAAGTATGACAATGGTGTTAAACAAAAATATTATGCATGTGAACTGACAACAGAAAAAATTAATATTGAGATAAATTGTGGTCACTAGTGAATATTAGATATGTATATTTATCTCAAAGCTTTAGAAGAGATAAGGTTAAAGACAGATGGTTTCCTTAGGTAAGATAATAGGTCAATCCTTAACACCTACTCAGTTCCTACTGATGCTCCAAAAACACCTTTTGATTATTCCCCTATTCCCCCAAGAGACACCTCAGCCCTTAGAAGAGATTTCCTCCCATCCTCTGTGATGTCAGTCATTAGGGCCACAAAGCTGCATGCTAAAGCACTCCAAGGCACAATGACAAACTCACAGCACACTGCAGGATATTTCAAACTTTTGAGAGAAACACAAAAACATCTATGTGAACACTGGGTGAACTGCCAACTCAATGAAACTAACAGAGAGCCCATAAACAGACCCACACGAATATTCCCCCCAAATTTTTGAGAATGGCATAAAAATTTTATTGATGTATTTATTATTTATAATGTGTTGATTTCTGCTGCACAGCCTTGTGACTCAGTTATACATATATATATATTATTTTTCATTTTCTTTTCCATTATAGTTTATCACAGGATACTGAATATAGTTCCCTGAGCTATAATAAATCCTTTTCAACAAATGGTGTTGGAACAACTGAATATGTATGGGAAAAAACTGAACCTTGACCTAAGCCTCACACTTTACATAAAAATCAACCCAAAGCAGATCATGGACTTACAGGTAAAACATAAAATTATAAAACTTTTAAGAAAAAAATGTTTAAAAATTGGGATCTAGGGGTAGGCAAAGAGTTAAGAACTTGACAACAAGAGTATACAAGGAAATACTGGACTTTACCAAAACTAAAATCGTTTGCCTTGTGAAAGATCCTGCTAAAACAATGAAAAGACAAACTACATACTTAAAAAAAAATTTGCAGAACTCATATCTGACAAAGAACTAATCTCAAGAATATATAAAGAAGTCTTAAAACTTAACAGTAACAAAAAAACGTCATTTGTATAATGGGCAACAGACCTGCCCATTATAGGAGAGACGTTTCTCTGAAGAGACTTGGTTCTGTGCTATTATTTCCTTTTAAGTCAGCTTGTACAGCCACTATTTAGAAGAATAGACTAAGTCAGCATAGATTGTTAGACTGTTGAGAAGAACAGCACTGGGGACTTTACATTTGCTATAACCCAGTTTTTACTTTGCCCAGGTGGTGTGGAGGGGCCTTTTGGTACAATGAGCCAAACAAATGATCCAGTGCTTTACCATTTCATAGACTATGTTTCTTAGACTAATAATGTTCATGTGCCTCAGTCAAGGGAGTGGGGAGGTGGAACAAAGAGGACTGAAACTAAATTCCTAGAGTCCTATATGCTCCTGCAAGAGAGCATAAGCACTCATATAATATTAACTAGCACTGCAATCTCTGTTTATAAAGCTCATTCCTCACTAACAGGAACCAGGGTTTCCTGGAGAAACAAGAGTAAATACAGGAGGAGCCTAGGACACTCTATTTTGTCAGAGGTTGGTGAGTACATGTTAAAAAGACTTAAGATCCAGCTTCAAGGGTCTCCCGCTCCTCAAATCCTGGACAATTTAAGCATCAGAAAGATAGCAACACATGTTAATTCATTGAGTAAAATAATCCATGAGTCCATACAGATAAAATTAAATAAAGGGGAAGAGATAGAGCTTTTTCTTACAATTCAAAGTCAATTTATTAAGGAAGAGATAATAGCATTAGAAAATGATTTTTCAATTGTCAGAGGAGTAACTGATTCAGGCAAGAACTCCTGGAGGCTGAAACAAACAAAATTTTGATGAGAAACAGGATATTTATGTAATCTCAAAAGTATCTCCCCACAAATGACTATAAAGGGAAAAAGAGTAACTTTATAGTGGAGAGACTTGGCAGAGGCCACCCTAACCAAGTGATCCAATGTATCACAAGTAACAGAGCAATAAACATCCTGTGTGCCTTATATGATACGCTGAGCAGAACAACACTTCACTGCAGTGGCACTCCTGCCAAGAATGCACAACCTTAATCTAATCACAAGGAAACACAAGGTGAACCCAAACCGAGGAATATTCTACAAAATAACTCTTTAAAAAGGCCAAAAAAGGTAAAGGCTGAGGAAATGTTCACATTAAGAGACTAGAGAAACGGGACAACCAAATGCAACGAATGCTTCTATATTGGGTCCTGGCATGGAGCGGGCGGGGGGGAAAAGCTATAACTGACATTATAAGTGAGACTGGCAAAATTTTATAAAAGTCTGTGCATTAGATAACAGTACTGTATCAATGCAAAATTAATGATTTTTGATCACTGCTTTGTGTTTGTGTGAAAGAACGTCCCAGTATTTAGGAAACTGACACTAAAATATTTAAGGGTAAAAGGGCATGATTTCTACAATTTACCCTCAACACTTCAGGAAAAATCAAGTATACACAGAGAATAAATGATAAAGCAAAAAGGGCAAAATATTAATAACTGGTAAAAACAGGTAAAGAATAAAAGTAAGTTCTTTATTATCAAGATAGAAAGTTACAAAAAGCAACCAAAAATATTTGTTGAATACTGAGTAGGAAAAATCCTAGCCTAGGTGCAGTGACTATGGTTTTATTATGGTAGCAGATTTAATTCCTAAAAATTATTAAAATTTGTACAGTCTTCACTTTTAAGGTTAATAAATAACTTTTAAATTTATAAAAATCAGTAACACGTACCTTTTCCTCTCTGCCTTTATTCTGTTCTTTCTTTTCCCGACTACGAACAGCTTTCCCTCTGTCATTATGAAGATTGTGTGTGGATGGACGGTGAACTCTGACCGCTGTACTTGGACGGTTACCCTGTGGTTTAGGGTCGCTATACTGAGAAGACTGGCGTTTTCTAGGTCCTGGTGATGGTCTAATCAAAGACAAGATCAAGAAAATCATAATCAACTCTTGGAGCTAGTACAAACATAGATGAAAACATACTGTGTAAGTCAATCTATGACTTGAAGTGATGGCAATGACTGAACACAAGATAGAACTGCAGGTCACTGAAATCTAAGATTTAGCATTGAAACTGGACATAACTGTCTGCGGTGCAGTATGGTTATATGGCAGAAACACAGAAGGCAAGTGATCATCACCTCTCTTTTGAAATGAAATACCTGCTATATATCAAGGATAAATGAAAAAGTAGGCTGATTCTTGAAAACTGAAAAGAGAGCAAAATAATCAGAGAAGGGAGTTTTATCAAAAGATAAAGAATAAAGAACACAGGTGTGAATCACATTTGTGTACAAACATACACACAGTTTGGTACCATTTTATTTAGAATGTATCATAGTTCTCACATTTTAATTAATAAAATTTAATCATTTTCCCATTAAATAAAAAACTGATTCAGCACTGGCTACGGATAGTTACAAGAAGTCATGTATGGTGCTTTGCCTTTATGTAGATCACTTCATCTTTATTTCTGTGGCAGAATTTAGAGCTCTCAAATATTTATTAGGATCCTACTGTTATGCTTCTAGACTTGGTTGGGGTAAGATGAGCAATAAAAATGGTACTAGAGTCCTGTACTCAAATACCTCAGGTAGAGTTAAGAAAGAAGATACACAAGATTAGGCAAATATACTAGAAAGTATGAAAGAGACCTAGTGTTGTGGCAATAGGAATGGCCTCTTGAAGACAGAAAGCAAACTGGATCTGGAAACATCCTCCTAATTTAGGAGTTGACCTAACTAAGATGGTACAACTGCAGATAAGAAAATGAGTGGGTAAAAGCAAAGAAAGCAAGATGAGCTTAATCTAAATAAAGGTCATAAAGACACAAATTGTAAAGATACAATGATAAACACTAAAGGATGATACTGGAGCTTCCCTGGTGACCCAGTGGTTAAGAATCCACCTGCCAATGCAGGGACACAGGCTCAATTCCTGGTCCAGGAAGATTCCACATGACACGGGGCAACTAAGCCCGTGCTCTGCAACGAGAAGCCACCGCAAGGAGAAGCCCGCGCTCCACAGCGAAGAGCAGCCCCCACCGCACAGCCACAGAAAGCCCTCGCGCGGCAACGAAGACTCAGCACGGCCCCAAAATAAATCTTTTCTGAAAAGTGAAAAATGAACTAAAAACAACAACAAAAAAAGAGGATACTGAACAGATAAGCTGGTTCAGTAAATAGACCTAAATATCACCAGTTCAAGAGGCTTGGTTGTTAGCTGACTGTCACTGAAAAGGTTTTACGAAGACCAGTCTCACAATGAATAAGATATACTGATGAAAGAATCACAAAAAGCAGGGAGGCACTATCAAGGCATAAGATGAGAAGCTAGCTTACGGAGTGATGATAAAAGTCTAAAAGACACACTGTGAAAAAAGACACCCCTAGATATCTTTCATATTGAGAAATGAGAATTTGGGAGGGTGATAAAGCCAAACCAATGCACTGATTTTTGTGAAAGGAATGATGGGGGTTCAACTTTGAATTTAGAAACTTGGGTAGCCAAGTAGGGATACTGTTTTAAAATATATATTTTTCCCCTTAAAAAAAAAAACAGCACACTGAAATATATTTCAGTAATAAAGAATTTGAAAACGTCACCTGTGTGTATGTGTATGTTAGTCGCTTAGTCGTGTCCCACTCTGCAATCCCATGGATGAGAGCCTGCCAGGATCCTCTGTCCATGGGGATTCTCCAGGCAAGAATACTGGAGTGGATTGTCATTCCCTTCTCCAGAGGAACTTCCCAACCAAGAGTTAGAACCCTGGTCTCCTGCCTCACAGGCAGATTCTTTACCATTTGAGTAGCTCAAAAGGTAAAAGTTACCTGTATCCCCACTATCCAGAGTTAACCACGTAACATGCTATTTTCTTATGGTTGCCTTTCATTTAAACAAAACTGGAACCTTTATACATACATATTCCCTGGAGGAGGAAATGGCAACCCACTCCACTATTCTTGCCTGGAGAATCCCATGGACAGAGGAGCCTGACGGGCTATAACCGATGGGGTCACAAAGAGTCGGACACAACTAAGTGACTGATACACACATACATACATACACTCATATTTTTCTCTCCTCATTATATCATGAAGCATTTTCAGTATCCTTTCCTCTATCATTACCTCATACATGACTTTTAATGGCTAGATGGCAGTCAGTCACATAAAATGTGCCACACTTAATCTACTTTTTGGGGGGGGCCAAACCACGTGGCTTGCAGAAACTTAATTTCCTGACCAGGGATGGAACCTGTGCCACCTACAGTGGAAGCAGAGTCCAAATCACTGGACCACCAGGAAAGTCCCTTTATCCACTTCTTACTGCTGTTCATTCATCCGAGAAATAATTTACTGAACTATTACTACTGACAGGCACTACTCTGAATTCAAGATAAAAATTAAAAAAAAAAAAACTAATAAAAGCCTTTACTCTCACAAGTTTACACATCAGTGTGTATGGGGGGCAGACGGGGTTTCAATGAAGAAATAAACAGTACATCAGATGATGCTAAGTGCCATCTAAGAAAATATAATAAAGAAGGGTAGGGGTTATGGAATAATACAGGTAGGCTGATCAGAGAAGGCCTTTCTGAGGCAACATTTGAGACTTGAAAGAAATGAGAGAACAAGCCATCACACACGTGAGCTGAAGGAAAGGTGAGTGCAGAGAACTGAAGCATTTGCATCCGACTTGTTCAAGAAGGCTGAGGGGTAGAACCGTGAGCACTGAGGTCACGGAGGTAGCGGGGGACCGGATCTCACTGGGTGGCACCAAGGGGCATGCTGAAAGCGTTGGGTTTTATTCAGCGAGATGAGATGTTTGAGGGACTCCAGCTGACTTTTAAAAGACATTTTAAAAGAATTATACCTAATGGCTTTATGCTATTTTTAATCGCTCCTCTGAAAGCCTTCAATGAACCTCCTTGTACAAACATGTTTGTGTACAGCACTAGAAGAGAATGCAGGATTGACTGACTCAGTTCTCTAAATGGGATTAAAATTTAGGCAATGTCACAGTTACAATCCCCAACAGAGGTGAAAGAATAAGGTTTCTTAAGTATGAGTACAGATTAAGACTAACAGAAAAATAAAGAGTTTTGAGGGATATTCAGCTGAGGAAGTTAAGTTAAATAAATTACAGGAAGAAATAGAAAGATGTAGCAAATAAAGTCAAAGCGGAGGACTTTGTAGCTAACAGCTGTCCAGGGCATTTAAATCAGAGACAGAACAAAATATGGAAGAAAGCCAGAAGCAATAAGGAGGGACCCTACAGCTCATCATTATAGACTTTTCAAGATGAAAAGCTCATTTAACAACTTTCTATTACCCCAAAGAGAGAAACCTCCTCTCTCCCCTTGTTAAGATTATGTCAACCAAACAGTTCATTAAATCTGAAATCACCTGAATAATTACTGGGCACATCTATTCACTGGAAAGTTCTTATCAGAAACTGAGAAAGGAGTTATGGTGCTGTTACAGACAATTTTTGTATTCCTCCAAAACTCATTATGCTGAATTCCTAAACCCCAGTGTGATCATTTGGAGTAAGGAAGTAATTCAAGTTAAATAAGGTCCTAAGGGTGGGGTCCTGATCTAAGAAATAGTGTCCTTATTAAGAGACACCAGAGAGCTGGCTGTTTCCTCTGCCATGTGAGGACGCAGAGAAGAGGTCAGCTGCTCAAGAAGACTCCTCACCAGAAACCAAACTGGCTCGCACCTTAAGCTTGGAGTTTCTAGCTTTAGAACTGTGAAAAGTAAGTTTCGGTTGTTTAAGTCACCCAGTCTGTGGGATTTTGTTACAGCAGCCAGAGATTTTGTTACAGAGCAGACCAATACAAGGGCCAAATGATGATTCTGAAGAAGGAGGGATTAAAAGAAAGTTAAGCAGGAGTAAAACATATTTACAGGCAAGATAAAATAAAAACACAACTTCACTCATCTTTTATTAGTTCTACTTTGGAAATTAAGAAAAAGTAAACAGAGATGTGGAAAAATTTTCAATTTATTTATAATAAGAAAAAAGGGGTTAACTATTGTAGGTTATATCCCTTAAAAGTGCAGCAAACAATCCTTTAAAAGAAGAAGAGGGTCTAAGATGGCTTATAAATTACCAATGTTTACGCTATAAAGAGCAAGTTACTTTACCTATCTAAGCTTAAGTTTCCTCATCAGAAATTGGGGCTAACAGTTTAGTACCTACCTTCTAAGTCTGTTTTGAGGATTAAATAATATGTGTAAAGTGACTGACATGGTACTCGGCAACACAGTAAATGTATAGCAATTGACTACTATTAGGATTTTTTTTTTAAAATATGATACAAAGTTAAATATTATGGGTATAGCACAACTACAACTTTGAAAATAAACAATTATGTATAAAGGACTAGAAGTTGTACTCGGATGACTATATGATTTCTCCTCTACTTTTATGCATTTTCCAGTTTTTCTTTAATGAGCCTATTGCTGTAGTTTTGAGGTTTTTTTTTTCTTTTTAGTGAATTCTAAAATAAAACAGAATACATACACATACACACACACATATATATAAAGGTACTTAAGAGTAAGGGTAAAATGTAGTAAATATTCAGAAAGTATCACAGTCAATAACAGAATATTAGTACTTTTATCTGGAGCTGAAGAAAATGAAAGTGGCTAAGAAACAATCAATGCCCATTAGTCAATCCTAAACTGGAGGAAAAACACTTTGGTACAGTACTTCTTAAAGTGTGATCTACCAACCACTTGGATTAGAATCACCTGCAGGTTCCTGGGCTCCCCTACTATTATACCAGACTCTCTGGGAGTGAAACCCCAGAATTCACATTCTGAATGAGTACCCCAAGAGATCTCTATGTATGCTAGAGTTTGAGAATGACCAATATGGCAGAGTGTGCCAGCTTTGTAACCAAACACATCTGGGTTCAAATCTTAACTCCACCAGCTACTAGTTTTGTGGTAATGGGGAAAAGTTACCTAACTTCACTGTATCTCAACTATCTTACCTGAAACACAGAGGAAATATAACTAATTATTTGAAAGGCTTATTGTGAAAAATAAATAGCATGTGTATTCTGTATTAGTGCTCAAAACCACATGAGTACTCAGTATCTAGTACTTGTCATAAACTATAGTCAAGGAGTAACAGTTTCAATGATAGAATCTTAAACACCTAAAAAGCACCTGAGCAATGTTTTAATGCAAGGCTCTCAAACTGGTTAGGGGGCAAAGAAACTGGAAGTCACTGTTCTTTGTAGAATGCTACTATACACTAATATATCTAAACACACAATACAAACTAGGAAATCTATTGTGTGAGTAAAACTGATAAATGACATCCACTTGCACTCCTGTCAGTTAAAAAAACATGCAATGGAACTAAGCATAATTGGCTGTTTTGAGCATTTCAGTAAATATAAACTTTCACTAATCGTTCATTTGCTGGCACCAGGTAATAGGAATCTGGAAGTAAAAATGTCAGAATAAAATCTATAATTGAGAACATTTCATCTTTTTTCCCTGTTAACTAAAAAGCCCACTTTTTCAATTTTAGCAGCAGTGTAGCTTGATAAACAGCAGTGTTCTGTGATAGCTTTTTGAGAACTACTGTTTTAGTCTAATTCCCTCACTTTATATAACAAAATCTGAAGTCTAGAATGGTTATATGCTTTTCCCAAAGCTACAGACTGTGGCAAAGATAGACTTACAGTCCAGATATTTCAGTCTCCATCCCCATGTTCCTTCCATAAGGTGTATCTCTACTGCTTTGAGCTCATTCACAAAACAATATGTCTACTTAAATTTAATTTACTGAAATGAATCACAGAATCACATGATACACAATTTAATTTATAAATGGTATTTAAAAAAAAAACAAAACCCTCTCCCATTCCTGTCTCTCAGCCCCTCAGTTCTCCTCCTAGACAGGACCAATACTATCAGTTCTGTGTCGGTTTGTTTCTTAAAGGGTCTCCACTTACCTTCGTTCGGCAGGTACGGGCAAGGACCAGACTTCTCCCTCAGATGCTGGAAGCTCGTGTTGTGCAGCTTTTAATGGAGTGCTGTCTAGTTTAAAGCTCTCTAGTGTTTTCATGATATCCTTAACGTGTTTCGCTTCCACGTTTATTTCCTGCCAAACCTGATTTCAAAGAAGAATGTGGTTCTTTACATTTCTGTAACTAATAAATCACTGCCAAATTAAGTTGGGCCATTTATTAAGAATGCTAGAAGCCTCTATTTTGACATCAGATATCCAGGAAACCATACCAACATGTTTTGTTGAAATTTTAATAACAGATCATAAATTATTTTTAAGTACAAAATTAATTCTGATAAAATGAATTACATGTTCTGGCTAATTAGGCCATCATTACTTATAGTTCTTATTCAAAGTGCGTAACAAGTTTAAAGGTTACCTGAATCTTTAAAGTTTGGTAAAAAATATTACTTCTGCAAGTTGTGCTTTGATGGTTCTTATGTTACTTAACTGACTTTAAAAATGCTCATCAGAATTGACTAATTTCACAATTCACTAATGGAATGCATCCCACAGTTGGAAAAATAAAGCTTCAAAAGATAAATGGCTCAATTCACATACAACCTATATTTTTTTTAAAAAAAGCTGCCTTGACTCAACTTCAAAATGATATATATTTCATATATATATATATATATGAAAGAAATGAAGCTAGCAATGTTTGGTTTTAAAACTAAATGATTTAAATATCCTTTTTTTTCTCTACTTTTTTTTAAAACACATTTAATCTTGGCATTAATAATTAAATAAACCACATTTCCCTGGTGGTCCAGTTGTTAAGACTTCACTTTCTAAAGCAGGCGGTGCAGGGGTGCAGGTTCAGCCTCTGGTTGGGGAGCTAAGATCCAACATGCTCTGGGGCCAAAAAATCAAAACATAAGACGGAAGCAATGTTGTAACAAATTCAATAAAGATTTTTAAAAATACAGTCAATCTTTTATTTTTATTTATTTTTGGCCACAGCACGTACCCTGCAGGTTCCCACAACAGGGATTGAACTTGTGTCGTGGAAATGTGGAATATTAACTACTGGACAGCTAGGGAATTTCCAATTTAAATATTCTTATAAAAAAGTTTAGACTTCTTAAGTAAAAGTTGCTGGCCTAAGAACAAAAGGTCTTAAAAGTCTTTCAGTGGCAAATTTAAGACACTTTACGAAATATTTTCCCCTTCTAATGTAAAATATGAAGAGGCAGATTTAAGGAAAGAGGTTAAGTTCACAGAGGTAGACCATTTCTCTGTTAAAGAAATTAAGGACAAATATGGAATATTATTTAAAAAGCAGTTTAGTAAAACTTGAGGGTAACAGTCTATCTAGAAGATCAGCTCAAAAAGACTATTAATTTCTATAACATTTCTCTCCTGGGACATTGTTGAACCTTACTGTAAGTGACACATCCAACTGGACGTGTAAGTTCTATAGTTTCTACCTATAAATTTTTTTCTCTCATGGCTCAGTGGTTAAGAATCGGCCTGCAATGTAGGAGCCGCAGAAGACTTGGGTTCCATCCCTAGGTCGGGAAGATGCCCTGGAGGAGGGCATGGCAATCTGCTCCAGTATTCCTGCCTGGAGAATTCCGTGGACAGAGAAGCCTGGTGAGCTACAGTCCATGAGGTCGCAAAGAGTCGGACACGACTGAAGCAACTTAGCAAGCACAGAAATTTCTACTGCTCCTCGGTGGCTAAGATTCCTCACATGGGATTCAAGTATGGTCTGATTTATGACGTCCTATAGGGAATACAGTACATGTGAGATTCAGGTGTCATCAGCTTAATAAAGTCAATTCTGATTTTACCAGGTCAAAATGTGATCTAGAAAAAAATTTCAAAACCATTCCTATTAGATTCCAAAAATTAGAATAACTGAGTAGAACTCATCATACTGATGATGGTGACTATGACACATCATTTTAAGCAACTTTATATACAAATCCATATAATAAATTATACAGTCTTAATGCATAACTGCAAAAGCACTATCTATTTAAATCTGAGTATTTTAAACCACTGAAACAAACAACAGTCATGAATCTTACCTGTTGCCATTTCTGCTGGAGGTATGTATCTTTGACTGAGTACAGATACTTGTTCATTTGGTCAAGAACTCCCTGATAATAGACCATTGCAGAGTCGTAATTTCCCAGCAATGCATATTCACGGGCCAACTTTACATTCTCACTAATCATAAGAAGACTCATGCTCAACTACAAGCTAAAAAAGAAAAATTTCATATTAGGTGTTTTAAAAATAAGTACAAAGAGTTTTTTTTAAAAAAGCATACGTTTCAAGGATCCCTGAAGAAGCTCGTTTTTACACACACTGCATTTTCCATCTCTGTACATTTGCTTATGATAATTTCCACTCCTTCAGAGAAATTTCTTAGTTCCCACAGTCAAACCCCACCTATGTGTCAAAGTCCCAATCAGATAAGTAGCAATTATCCCGGTATGTCTACCTTCCAAACTTGCAGTTCAGAAAAAGCCCTCCCCCTTCTAAAGACCCCTGGTACTTGACTGGAGCCCTTCATCTCAAGGCACTTGTCCACCTTGACTCTCTGAGAGCAGGAAAAGATCTGAGTTAGTAACTTCAGTGCATGAAATACAAGTCTTATGGAATATCTGCAGAACAAATGTAGAATGTTAGATGCTTTTCTTGGAAGGCAGTGTGAAGTAGAGAAAACACGTTTTGATGTTAGAAGAATCTCGGTAGAATTCTAATTTTGCCACCTTTGTCAAGCCCTTTATCTTTTCTGAGCCTTAGTTTTTAAATCTGTAAATTGGGTAGTTACTACTTCCTTTTTGTTTTTAACCACATCACACAACTTGTGGGAGGGATCTTAGTTCCTCCAACAGGGATTGAACTCCTAGGCTCTCAGCAGTGAAAATGCAGAGTCTTAACCACTGGACCGCCAGGGACTACCCAAGTAACCATACTTCCAAGAGCTGCACGATAAGGAATAAATGACTATTTAAAATAGCCAGCACACTACTTGGCAAAGAGTAGGCCTTCAATAAATGCTAACTGCACCTTCCCTGAAACTTTCCATATGCAAAACCAAGTATAGTCTTTGTGCTTAGTAGCATGTGGATATATGGATATGGGGTTTTCATAGGTGGGTTTTTGCCTACCCTCCAGACAGCAGATAATTTCAATGACATAAAAATTGGTCCAGAAAGTAAGGGAAAACTGATCAACTTTTTATGAGGTAGAAAGTGAAAGTGTTAGTCGCTCAGTGGTGACCTCTTTGCGACCCCATGGACTGTAGGCTCCTCTGTCCATGGCATTCTCCAGGCAAGAATACTGGAGTGGGTTGCCTTTACCTTCTCCGGGGGATCTTCTTGACCCAGGGATGGAACCCACGTCTCCTGTGTCTCCTGCACTGCAGGTGGATTCTTCACCTGCTGAGCCACCAGGGAGCCACCATCTCAATTTTCAAAACCAATTAAGAACAATACAAAGCCTACTTCACTTAGGACCACGATGTGGTAATCTTAAATAAAAGATTAGCTAACTAACAATGTATCAGCAAGGAGACACGTGCATGTGCGTGTGCGCGCACACACACACATACACTCCACGATCAGGAAGGTTTACCTCAGGAATGTAAGGATAACCTAAGATCAGAAAATCCACCTTATAATTCCTCACACTAACAGACAAAAGAACTTCATACAAAAACGTGTAGCACATGAACGGCAATTTATGAAGGGGAAACCCAATGGTTAACAAGTATAGCTACTAGTAACAGAAGAATGCTAATAAAGTGTGAGACCTCTTTTACATTAACTAGATTTTTTAAAAAATTACTACTGGCAAAAATTTGGGGAAAAAAACATCCTCTCACATAAATTTGTGGGCATAAATGCAAATCATTTTGGAGAGCGATCTGGTAGTACTTAGACAAATTATGTACACAGCTATCCTATGATGCTGCCACCCTACTTTTCTATAAATACTCCAGACAAAGTTTCACACAGATCCACAAAAGAACTTGTTTTCAGATGTTAATGACAAAACTGTTAGAGATACCCAGTAGTTGGAGGCTTTTTTCTTTTCAAGTTTTCAAGTTTTCTTTTCAAGTTTTCCTGCTAGGGAAAAGATAAGGAAGTATGGTGCCTGCACTAACGAATACTATGTAGCAGATGGAAGCAATGAAGATGATGTACAAATAGCAACATGGATATATTGTCAAAATACAGGGTTAAGGGGATTTCCTGGTAGTCCAGTGGTTAGGACTTGACACTTACTGCTGAGGGTCTGGGGATTCAGTCCCTCATTAGGGAGCTAGGATCCCACAAGCTGCTAGGCCAAAAAACAAACAAGAAATTCAGGGTTGGGTGAAAAAAAAAACCAAACAAACTTAGACACAGAACAAGGTCTAAATCCCCAATACCATTTTATAAACTTAAAAATATGCTATATATGTGGTATATAAAACACTCTTTTTCAAAGGATACATACACATCCAAGAACATATATTAAATATATTACAGTGTCTATGGAGGGTAAGATACGGAAATATGAGTGGAGAAAGAGGATGAAGGGTAGTGTTAGGGTTAAATACAACAAAAGAAGTGCCTTATATCCATCAATAATCACCGAGAGCCTGTAAGATGGCTCTCAATGACCTCTGCCTCCTGGTGTCCATTCTCCCCCTGAATGTGAGCTTGTAACAAACAGAATGCACGAAAATAACGAAACGTCACTTCTGAGATTACACTGAGACTTCCGCCTTGCTCACCGTCTTCTGCTCTCTGGTGGGACCACTCCAAAGGAAGCCCAGCTACCATGCCGCGAGTTGGCCATGCAGAGGCTCATGCGGCAAAGATCTGACGGAAGCCCAAGGGCAGCAGTGAGGAACTGAGGGCCTCAGTCCAATGGTCCAGAGACACTGAATCCTGCCGACGACGCCGTGAGGGAGCGGGGAGTGGATCTTCCCTCAGCCGACCCTTGAGGTAGCTGCAGCCGTGACTGGCACCTTGACTACAGCCTGTGAAAGACTCTGAATCAGAAGCGCCCAGCTAAGCTATGCCCAGAGCCTGACCGGAGAAACTGTGAGATAACAAATGCTTGCCATTTTAAGCCATTTAGTTTTTGGTTAATTTGTTTTGAAGTAGTACAGCTATGAACTGGGTCTATAAGTAATTCAAGACTGATCATCTCAGGTCCAAAAGAAAAAGGGAAAAAAAAAAATCCCATGACTTTCTGGAGTCATGACCATGGATAATATTCCACCTGAATGAAAGCTCTGGGTCAGGGACGTGGCTCTCTGTTATTTTATGGATATATCCACAGCACCATGCAGCCTCTCACTCAGCAAATCTTTGGATGAATGAGTGCTGCCAGGTTTTGTCTAACTACTAAGATTTCTTGCCTTTGTCCAGTTTCTCACCCTCAGCACGCTCACATTCCCTGATCCTCAACTCATGCCTACTACAAACTGTGTGACTGCTCGGCTCCGAAGCTACATATGCCCGAGAGTGACACCCAGTCTGGGGAACAATGTAAGAAGAGCACAGCTGGGGCCTGTCAGAAGGTGTTCCAAGCCATACTGCTTGCAGCAGTACATCCCTGATCTGGACAAGCAAGGACAGCGAACCTCGAACGTCTTTTCCTTCCTTTAACACACTCCTTTCAGCTCTTTGATCACCCCCACCCCACCCCCCACTTAAAAAAAAAAATCTAAATTGCTGCCCTTTTGTTTTTCTGAGGGCCAGGGTTCTGTCCCAAAACTCACAGACGTCACTCCAGGCCTTCTTTGAAGGTTCTGTGTTACGGATACTTCTTTCTACTCAGATAAAATTCCTAAGGAGTCAATGAATAGGCATTTCCTAACAAACAAATGTAAAGTCAACCCAAGGCCACATTAAAAATGACCTAAAAATTCCTGGTTATCAAAGAAAAGATGGATTTACTGAAAATGTATCAAAATACTACTCAAAATCTAAATGTCAGACAAAAAATAAATTTTCCAATTCTTTTACCATCTCTAAGTCTAAGACACTCTTCTCAAATGAATGTCAACATTGTAAGTTTACAGGAGTCTTCAGTTTCCAAGAATATATCCTTAGTTTGTGCCTGCATTCTCAGTCATGTCCGACCCCGCACTGGCAGGCAGATTCTTTACCGCTGAGCCTCCTGGGAAGCCCTGGTGGCTCAATGGTAAAGAATCCTATCCATCTGCCAATGCAGGAGATGCAAGTTCAATCCCTGGGTCAGAAAGATCCCCTGGAGGAGGAAATGGCAACCCACGCCAGCATTCTTGCCTGGGAAATCCCATGGACAGAGGAGCCTGGCGGGCTACAGTCCACGGGGTCACAAGGAGTCGAATGACTTAGCAAAGAAACAACAACAATATATCCTTACCGTTGCCCAAATTACACTTCAGGAAGACAGAACTTGGGTCTACCTGACACAGTATCTGGCAATACTTGAAGAAATGAATATATATGAAGAAAAGCCCTTAGACCAAATTTTAACCACAATGAACTGAAAACACTACCTATTGATTCAATTAATACCAAATGAGATTGTAAAATTACAAAAATGAGATTGTCCAAAAACACACTGCTGGTTTTTAAAGAGATTATTAAAAAGAAAAATAACCATAAGTATAGGTTATGCATGCCTTATCTGGATAAAAAATGTAAGTTTTTCCTTTATGTGATCCTTCCTGTCAGAACCACTCTTTTGCTTAAATGTCTGAGTATTTAGTTTATGATGAAATTCATTCATTTAACCTAAGTAAGATGCAACATGAAATTTTAATTCAAGTAACAGAGCCTCCTGATGAGGGTTTCTGAAAGAGGAGAGTGAAAAAGCTGGCTTTAACTCAACATTCAGAACTAAGATCATGGCATCTGGTCCCATTCACTTCACGGCAAATAGATGGGAAAAGTAGAAACAGTGACAGATTTTATTTTCTTGGGCTCCAATATCACTGCAGACTGTGACTGAAGCCATGAAATTAAAAGACACTTGCTCCTTGGAAGAAAAGCCATGACAAACCTAGACAGCATATTAAAAAGCAGTCATTAGCTTGCCGTATTGTCTGTGCAGTCAAAGCTATGATTTTTCCAGTCTTCCTGTATGGATGTGAGAGTTGTATCATAAAGAAGGCTAAGTCCTGAATTGAGGCTTTTGAACTGCGGTGCTGGAGAAGACTCTTGACAGGCCCTAGGACAGCACAGAGATCAAA